GAAGAGTTGCTGCAGAAAGTTGATGCTTGGCTTATTAATGTTGAGCAGCAAGTAAGAATTTCAACCATTATGACCCTCCAGCTTTTGATGCCATTTTAAATTACCTTATTCTTCCCGAGTCATTAGTCTTACAATTTTATTTGATTTAGTTGGCAGATATAGAATTATCCAGCAAGCAAAAGGCTGTCTTTGAGAGCTTGCAAGCGGGAAACAATGCAATGAAAGCAATTCAAAGTGAACTTAACCTGGATGATGTTCAGAAGTTGATGGATGACACTGAAGAAGCAAGAGCCTATCAAGATGTATGCTTCTCTTTATTCATATTCTGAAAACTATAGTTTTCTTGCTGATTTGACTGTCACATTTTGTTTCTTCTTTTTCCCAAAGGCTTTGGAGTTAGGGTACATTTAAAGTTAGAATGAAGAAATTAATAAGTCCTGCAAATTAAAAAGAAAAAATAAAAATTCAAGTTTTAATAACAATAAATAAGAAGTAAACTTGCAAGTCTTGACCTTAGTCTTGATGGCCATAGTAGACTCCCATAGTCCCATGTCCAATCAATGCTCACTGTCCTTTCTCAGAGGTTGTCATTCATCTTTTCACGTTGTAATGCCATGATGTCAGGACCAGATATTTGGTATTTACATATTAACAGCATGAAGCATTTTGATAGGAGCAGTTGCATTCTCAATTTTCAGCCCTTAGTTATCAGTTATCAAGCTCAGCTGTTAATATGTAATTGTGTTCTTAGACCCTGGGATACCCGGGTCTCCTTGAAATTGACTCTCCTTCATTAAGAAGTTGCAGTTAGTCATTACTCATTAGAAAGTGTCTCGGGATCAAGTTGGATCACTTGATTCCTGAGTGTGTCCTTTAGAATGATCAGCACTCTGCTATTACCAAAGGCAGTGCTTAGAACAAGAATACTACTTCTAGCTTCATATTTGTGCTTGGTAATGACATGTTTGGACAATATACATGGTAGACTTGACAGATTTGATGCTGTCAATATAATAAATTAATAAGAAGCACAAGTCACGGGGATAACTCTTTACAGGTGCATGATAGAGTCATAGACAGAAGGTGGCTTTGTAAAACTAATTACGGTTGGCTATAACTAATGGCTACCTAAGCACTATAATTTTCCAGTCATGTCTGTTCAGAATTGCTTGTATGCGATTGGCTATAGCTGTACACGGTGCATGTTATGTGTACCAGTGGGCATTTCTTGTTTGAATTACAATTTTTTTTTTCAACTTTTTTGGGAAACTAATAATCTTTCATTTGGTATCTGTCTCTAGGAAATACATGCTATACTGGGAGAGAAATTATCTGCTGATGATGAGGAAGAAGTATTAGCAGAATTTGACAATCTAGAAGCAATGGTATGTTTATTTTTTGAGATACTTGTCCTTATCTATGCTGTGTCTAGTATCAAGCGCTTGATGAGCTGATTGAGACTGCATATTAATATCTATCTATGGATTTTTAGATGAAATCAGTCTGTAATCATCAGGAAGGAACTTAAATGAGATTATGTTCATAATATAAAAGTACACATAATATAAGCCTCGGGCAATTCTGTAATGAATTGAAGGAAGCATCCTTAAGTTTCCCAGTGCCCTTTAAGATCACATGTGATACAGATCCTAAGCCTGATTGGCTCAGGAAATCGTAACCCCTTCCACAAACAGTATAAGATATTTGATTATGTGAAGGAAAGTTTCCCTAGTTGAACAGTATTCTGAGGGGAGAAGGCTCCCACATCTTCCTCAAAACTTCTTAGAGACCATATTTATTCACCCCTTGTAGCTATTACTTATGGCTTGTTTTATCATGATGTGCTGAACTCCATCTTCTGGCTCCCATAAGCATATTTTTGTCCACATCAAGTAGGTCCAAAGCATCATTTCTACATGATATAGAGATTTTTCAAAGAAGAAATTGTAGAGAAGATTTCAAATGCTTTATAGCAAGAGAAAACTTATAATTTATACATTGACAAGCTTTGTGGCATTATATAGTAAATAAAGTTTTGTTGTCATTATTTTTATGGGGAGTTGGGGGGTAGGGCCTAGGGGGCCACCCTCCCCCCCCCAAAAAAAAAAAAAAAAAAAAAAAAAAAAAGGTAACAACGCACACACAAATTAATAGTGATTTTGTCTTTGTTCTGCTGTATACCTCTGTAATCAGGTATAGCTTAACATATACACAGACATGTAGAGTTGTATTCTTTATGTGTATTTACTTTTACAAGTGCACATGTGAGGATGGACAGATGGATTTGATTCACATTGTTGTTGTGATTGTTGTACATTGTTGAAAGTTTTGTTGGAAGCCTTGTATATACTCTTACCTGATTCAATTATACTTTGTCCACAAACTATGAAAAATATACTTGTTGCATCAGATATTCTCTGAAACAGCTAGTTCAATGAGAAAAAAGGATAAGACTTTATGCAAGAAATGCTAATCTATATGCATAGTTTATGGGAAACAAAGATTGAGATGTTAACTCACTTGTTCATTCAGATATAGTGAGTTAACATCTCAATCTCTGTTCCCCATAAACTATGCATATGAACAGAGATTGAGATGTTAACTCACAAGATATGATAGTAGAATATCTAGTACACCATCCTAAGAATATATGCTCATATTTTGTATGAACTTGGTAGTTGGTAGTCATTAGGCATGGAAATAATTATGAACCTTGAACTTTGATCTTTTTAGATTAATTCATACCCTCTTTTTTTGTAAGATTAATTCATTCTTAAATATACAATTGAATACACACACCTGTGCACATGTGATACAGCAAGAAGTACAGACCTTATTAGAACTGACCAAAGATATGTAAACCTGTGTGAGAAGGGACCATGCCTATGTATTTGGAATATGCTTCATTTGTATGCAGCCCTACTAGAAAAGCTCTGATCTCAACTGCAGTCTTGAAGCCCTACTAGATATTCTACTATCATATCTTGTGGTTGCATATTACACTGTAGCATTTTGTATGTTCTTCGTAGTCTTATCTGATGGAGGTATGCTTTTGTTGGTGTAGCTTACTGTCCAAGATCTACCAGAAGTTCCCACTACAGTTCCTGAAGAGGAAGAGAAGTTGGATCTACCTGATGTTCCTACCAAGGCTCCTGTTGCTGATGATGTTGAGGAGGTTTCAGATAAAATTCCTGAGAAGAGAAAAGGTAGATATCCTTCCGTCTTCCACATTCTTCACTCTTTGTTTTTCCATTCTAAAATAGTGATGGCATTTTAGAAATTTTCTCAAAGAATTTCAAAATTTTTTTTTTCCTCCTCACCCTCTATTTATTTCAACTGTATATCCCCCATCTTTGTCAACAATACATTGATGCTTTGGCTCTTCTTTGGCAGTTATGGAAGAGCCATTGCCGGCATAGCCTGCCTACTTTGGAGCTGATTGTGGAGTGCGAGTTGATGACACAACTCTTCTCATTGTTTCAATAGAAGTCATGTTCAAAAGGCCTATATTTACACTCCATTAATTTTTTTTTTTCCTTTTCCGGTTATGTATAGTATTGCAGTTGTAAGGGGAAGAAATCGGCTGTTTGAATCTTCAATGTGTACAGATTTGCAACTGTTTATTCAAGTTACGATTTGTATTGGACATAATTTCTTGTTCAACTTCCAGTTTACTTGCTCTTGAATTCTTGATGATTGCTATTCGCCATTCCTAGCATATGTTTGTATAAGCCATATAGTTCTTGAGTAATGACTATTGACTAAATGCCCTTATTTAGGAAGCAATATGTCAATCTTGCCTATATTGGACTCACATGTCCAAATGTCCAATTTGTCAATCCTCCTTCAAGTTAGATTCAATTCAAAGAAAACTACTTAGCATTTAGAGGCCGTTTGGTTTGCATGTGGTAAATGGAATGGAATGAACACAGGGAATGAAAGATAACGGAATAGAACCCTTTACAAGTAGAATGTTGTTTGTTTTTTTTTTAAAAAAAAAAACAAAGAGAATTACCACCACCACCACACAACCCCCTCTTTCTTCACTTCTCCAACCACCACCCACCCTCGAAAACCCTCCTACTACAAGTAGAACTTGTATCTACCAAAGCTTGGTCAAGTAGTAAGGTTGATAGAAATAATTTATATACACCCGGTTGCAATATGTAATGTGCAACTAAAGGTATTTTCTGCTCATTTTAAAATCTTAAAATGAGTAAAAAAAATATCAGATTAGCAAAATACTACCCTTGTGTGCACCTACCTTTATATACACCCGGGTATATATAAAAAGTATTAAGTTTTACAACTTTGATGTTGGAGGTTCAATCCCCATTAAAGCCATTTTGAGGACAAGGATTTCCCTTATGCTCCCCCCCCCCCTAATAACCTAGGAGAAGTCTTGTTAAGAAGTAATTTAAATTTATGTTTACACTCACACATTATGTCTTATTATATATCCATCAATAATTAAAACTGATTAATAGTTTAATACACATTTGTTCACGATTGTTTATGCTTTATGGTGATGTATGTATTTCAATGTTTGGAAAAGAAATTTATATTTCCTATTATTATAGTTGGATACTTGCATATTTTCTCCGTTTCAAATTAGTTGATATGTTTTGACTTGTGACACTAACTACAAACTCTACTTAGCTCCCGTTCACTTCACCTTATTTTCACTGAAATGAAATTATTTTTGCTGCACTTAAATTATTTTTACTAAACTGAATTTAATTTTACTGAACTGTAATTATTTTTGTTGAACTAAAATTATTTTTACTGATTTTCTATTATATTTCTTCTTTAAAGTTGAATTGAACTTATTTTTGCTAACTGAAATTATTTTTACTTAATATTATTTTTTTAAGGTGAAATGAACAAGGACTTAAACATATTTTGATGATTTATACTCCGTAATTCATATACTATACGCGTATTCGAAAAAACAGTTATGTGATTTTTTTTTTTTTTTTTGGAAAGCTTAGAAAGTCTCCCCTTGACGCCTTAACCGTATTTTTCTACTTCAAAAAAAAAAAAAAAAAAAAAAAAAAGGTTATGAATTGAGAGTTAGCAACAAACAAAGCTCGCAACTTTGCAAAATAAGGGTTTTCAATTAAAGCCCTCTTTTCTCAGGTTCATACTTTTCTCCCTAACTAGCCGCCGATTCTTTCGATCTCATCTTCCCAATTTCTTTTTAATTTCTGGTTCAAGATTGAAACTTTTAATCTCTCTTTCAATTCCCAATTAGTTTTTGAAATTTTAATTGAAAAAATTAGATTTGATTTTACCAGCTATTTTTAATTCTAATCCCTTTTTATTTGATTTTTATAGGTTTTTAATTGATAGAAGAAATCATGGCTTCTGAAGACAACGTCACTGAATTAAAAGAAGAAATTCCTGATGTGGGTATTTCTTTTTATAATTTAGGGTTTTTTTTTCCTTCTTTTTTTTCGTTTAATTTTTCTGTAATTTTCAGCAATTGATTTCATTATCATTTACTGCTTATTTGTGTAGCTTGTTACAATTATAATTTACTCGTATTATTTTTTAAAAAAATTTGGGTAAATGTAATTGCAATTAGGTTTAGCCATTTACCCAAAATCTCGTATTTCTCTTATACATGGAATCTTGGAAAGATTATATTTTTATAACACTTAGGTATACACACACGCCAAATTCTTAATTCCAAAGATGGGGTTGGCTTGGTTGCGTGAACTAGAAATTATCTGAATGCTGATAGTGTTATTCACGGATATATAATTGATATGATGTTTTCAATTGATACAAATAGTAGTAGTTCATTACAGGGGTGATTAATTAGTAAGTAATGGGAGAGGCCTTTGAAATTCATAGAAAACGTGCTCGAGTGGCAATGAAAATCGAATAAAATTAAGTGGAAATCGCCATGCATGAAAAGCTATTGAGTGTTGAAAATCTTGCAGCCCCAGCTTGTGTAGAAGATGCTAATGTTGAGAATAAAATGGGGCCTTGGTTAGTAAGTTTTAAAGTCTATATGCAAGTTTTGAACTGGTTGTCAAATGCCTTATGTAGAAAAGACCTTCGAACACCTTTTCTTTGATTTATGGCTTTGTGTAGGCTATAGAGTGCTTTGATTGTCACAATAAAGAGGTCCAATTCCTGGTGATGTACCCTCTGTTGAAACTTCCTCTTTGACTGTTGACCTGTTGTAAAGAGATTTTAGGTATGCTCATTGGAGTGAATGACTTTTGGTGGAGCTTTGAATTATTACATGATCTAGTAGTATCCTGGCAACTCTGACCAAATAAATACAAGTCTTAAATTGGATAAACTCGCAATTTAAGTGATGCATCTTTGGTGGTCTTATTATTCTGGCTAATTTAGTGGCCTTCATTGTGCTGTGGAACATAATTCTATACTCTGCTTCCATCTCATAGTAGTTTGACCAAAAAAATATAATCAAGTGATGTGTCTTTGGAAGAGGAAGGCCAGAGGCTCAATGTGAACATATAAGGCTCAAAGAGCTATATGAATTAAAGCTTTCAGAATAATACCCTGATATGAAGTGTTTTAAGTATTAAGATACTCCAGGCTTGAGCACTTGCTGGAATGAAATAAATTAGGACATTGTACGGTCTTCAATATCTATTGAGTGTTCAGCTGCAATAGGCAAGTCAGCTCTGGTACGTGTCATAAAGTTAAGATTATTAACTAGTAAGTTTGTCAGCATCCTATACGCAAAATGTTACAGGAAAAAAAAGAAGCTTCCCTTCATTTTTTTTGGCAGTTTTCTGTATTGGTGTGAAGGAGTAAAAACACTTTTAGGAGAAGACTGGCATATATTCCTTGATCAAACTAGTCCAACTGATGCTGTTGGAGCCAGTAACAAATATCTCATCCACAGAGATAGCTGTAAAACTATTTATGCAAAGAATATGAATTTTGTCTTGAGGCTTGATTTTACTATTATGAAAACTTAGTGAGCTTTTAAATCTTCTCCTTTGGATCAATACCTTCTAGCCCTTATAGTTTCATCTCTGGTATTTTTATCGGTAGGAGCTGAGGCTTTTCATATGGAGATTAGAGAGAGATAGTCTCATTTCAGTTACCGTTGTTAATTTGGTTGGAATTTCAATTTCCTAACTTTTTCTAAAGCCAGTATCGAGTTTCATATATTGTCTACTTTGTTGACAACATATCTTTATGCTTTTCTTCATCCAGATAGTACCATTTGATCCCACTAAGAAAAAGAAGAAGAAAAAGGTTGTCATTCAAGATCCTGCTGATGAACCTCTGGATAAATTGGCTGAGAAAACAGAAAACTTGTCAGGTATGTGTCTGCCTCTCTTGTGACAGTTGTGTAAGATGCTGAACACTTGTCTTTTTCATTTTGCATTTGGATTGGTATAGCTTAAGTGTTCTTGAAATTATGATTTAAAATTGTACTATATTGGATCATCATTTTGCAATGAACTTTAATAATGTGGAATGACAAGCATTTGAGTATTTTTCAACTCCTTCCTTCCTATGGTGAACTTCACACTTTGTTTTTTTGGGTTTTTCCAAGTTAAACTGCACACTTTTTTTCCCTTTCCTTTTGACTGTATTTTTAATTTCCATGCTGAACTCAGATTTAAATTGCATAATGGGACAGAGGGAGTAATAAGATGAAACACTATTTTGTGATTTAGGGTATAGGTGATGAAGTTGTCTACTGTTATTCACTATTTGAGAGATGTTCACCTCTGATATTTCTGCTCCTTCTCTGCAGTATCTGATGGAGTTGAAAATTCCTTTGCTGGCTTGAAGAAAAAGAAGAAGAAGCCTGTAAGAAGGGGGAAGATTTACATTACATTAGGAATATCTTATTTATTGAATAACTTTTGATGAAGAGATTCTGTTTGCAGGTCGAAAGTAATCTTTCAGGCGATGATACTGCTGACTTTGGGGAAGAGAAAGATGGTAGGATTTTGTATTTCTATTCGTCACCAAATATGTAGAGAAGAGCTGTTTACATAAGATTACCATTCTTGTCAACTATATTAGGGAGCCTTTAGTAAATTATGCCTGACGTGGCTTTTGACTCAGATAACATTGAAGAAGATGAAGAGGGAGAGGGGATAGTTTTGCAAGGAGAACAAACGCTATATCCTTGGGAAGGAAGTGACAGAGATTATACATATGAGGAGGTCTGTTTCATACATTGTCTCTCTTGTTTGCAAACCAAAATGCTAAAATTGCCATTTCTGTCATTGCCTTATAACTTGTATAATATCATTTTTCTTATATGCCATTAGATGTTGGATTCCTCTCAGTAGTTGTAATGTCTCAAATGTTGAATAAAATTTGTTATTAGAGGATCTTATTGAGATGTTTCTTTGCCTAAAAGCAGCATTTATTGTCTACACTTTCCTTTTATTTTCTGGATAATTTTGAGGTTTATATACTGCCTCCCTCACCCGGGGAAATTGACAAGAAAAAGAAAATGCTTTTCCACCATCCCTTCATCTCTGTATTAGTGGAAAAGCCCTGCGCTTCAGAAAAGATTGACATTATATATGCAACTTATGTCACAAGAAAATGTGTAAAATACTCTGTTTACTAGTTGTTATCCACTAGCTTTTACAATTAATGTCCTGGGGTAACGTGTTTACAACTTTGTAATTGCAATACATGAACTAATACAATCATTAGGGTCAAACAAAAATAGAAAGTTAGAAACTAAGACAATTACTGTGGGATTAGAGTAGTACTTATTTATCATTTACCATGGTATCTTTGTGAATTGTAATACTGTTGGTTTTGAATATCCACGGCACATGATTACCTCAACAGTAAAGCTTGGACCTTTCTGACATTGTTCTTATCCATGTCATGGGGACATCTTCTGTGGCATATTGCTTTCCTTGCCTACTGTGTATGAGATGGATCTTCATATTGAGAATGCAGAATATTGTTTTCCCTTTGATGTGATTGCTGTTGGTTGTTAGGCACTGCTGTATATTGTGTTAAATCTTATCTATAATCTGCAGCTTCTTGGAAGGGTGTTCAACATCCTTCGTGAGAACAACCCAGAACTTGCTGGAGACAGGCGTCGAACCGTTATGAGACCTCCCCAAGTGTTGCGTGAAGGCACAAAAAAGACAGTTTTTGTTAACTTTATGGATCTTTGCAAGACGTATGTATAACTTCTTCTAATCTCTAAACTATCTAAAGTTCTTAGCTCTTTGGTTTTCCTTTATTATTAGCTTTATTTTCTTTGAAAGGATACCTTTTCTTGTTTTATTTTTTTATCGCCTGTGGAAGGGAGGGATAAGGTAAAAATGACCTCAAGCTCTGGTGGTTGGATTGAGCGAGTAAGGGAGCAATAGGGAGCTGAGGCTGGATAAAATAAATGGATTGAGGCTGGACTCATTTTGGTTCAACTTTTTTTGGTTACAAGTTAACTTTAAATTTTGATTTGAATCTTATGTCTGATATACTTGAAAACACAATAAAGAAAATGAACACCCACTGAAGTTATACTGAGAAAAGTCGAAGGTTGACTAAGCCTATCCTAGGGTTGATCTGATCTGCTGTAGCTCTTGGCTTGCTAAGCTGTGGTATAAATGGGAATTTAGCTGAACACTAGGCAAAATAGAATACTTGCCTAATGGATCAATTTTCTACTACTGATATCAAAGTGTAATGCTAGGCAATGCCTTTATTAAGTATAAATGTGAGTTATATATGATGTGTTGCTCTTCATTTCTGTTTTTAATCTGGTTTAGCTCTTCTAAATTTCTATTTGTTAAAAGAGAAAGGTCTCTTATGTTAAACATTCTGTGTTGTTTTTCAGGATGCATAGGCAACCAGAACATGTTATGACCTTTTTACTAGCAGAAATGGGAACAAGTGGATCTCTTGATGGACAGCAGAGATTGGTGGTGAAAGGAAGATTTGCCCCAAAGAATTTTGAAGGAATATTGAGGAGATATGTCAGTAAGTACCTGCTTTCTATCATTGTCCTGAACTAAGTTGTTTAATGTTGTAACACGTGCTTTTTTGCTTTGCTCTATGCAACTCATCTGCCTATCCATGAATACTGATTTTATGCATTAGCAAGTCGTATGTTTATATAGTGCGTCATCCTTATATATAATTATATAGGCTTATCATGACTGACTAATTGCATGAATAGAAAATCTCTTTGATATGATGAACTTTATTGCAAAAGGCCTTGCATTATCTTGTGACTGCCGTGACTGGATATATTTAGCAGCCTAATTTTCATGACAAAAATACATAGTTCCCCAACCATGTTCTGCAGTGGTCTAAACAATCAGATCTAAAAGGCAGCATTTTATTATATTGCAGATGAGTATGTTATATGTAATGGGTGTAAGAGCTCAGATACCATATTGTCGAAGGAAAATCGACTCTTCTTCCTCAGATGTGAACAGGTTAGTCTTACATTGAAATTTGTTGCTTTCCTTTTGGTGTCCTTGTTCAGTTTTGACTTGGTCTATTGATATTCTTGTCTTTGTGCATGAGCAACTTATGTTTTTCTTAAGTGCTTTCTTGTTAAAGCTGTGTGAAAGGCCTATGATGACTAGTGGTATTTTTGAGCACTTGTCAATATGTGCCAATGAAAAAACTATTATCCGAGTTCTGAGGCCTCATCCCAGCTTTTGTGTTTTCTTGAAACCTTGCCATGGGTGTAGGTCCAGCTCTGCTGTGTAAGGATACTGATACGTTAGAGGTTTTTATACTTGTAAATATAAAACGCGCATTTCCATTCCCATGTATTTTATTAGAGCTTCAGTCACTGGTTTGAAAGAAACTTATTGCTCAATATCCCTCTCTATTTCCCCAGTTTACTGATCAGATTGAATCCTGATCCATGTGCGCACCTTTCTGTACTTGGATATTTGCCAAATACAACCTCTCATTGATTTTAGAAGTCTTTTAAGTACAGGGTTTTTTATATATACCTTTTAAAATAAAAATAGCCTACTAATGCTATGTGTGAAGCGCCTTTATGCTTTCCTCTTCTCTGTATAATTTGATCTGGAGAGAGAACGTTCAAGCTCTCTGATGGTTTACGATAATATTGAAAGAAACTTCTAAAAGCTTTCAACTGATGATTCACAAGATCTTTATGAAGAATTTCACCTCTCCTCCCAGTTGAACAAAAGGCTTGTTCCTTGCGTAGGCCAATGATTTAAAAATGTTTTGCCTACATTGTCTGACTTACAAGTCCATGATAATGAATATTCAGTTCTGAGGCCTTTTCCCTAGAAGTTTTTCTCACAAAACTCCAACTTTGTTCGTCTTATAAGTGATTTGCCATTTCCTTTAGTTATCTTGAAAATATATCCACATTGGATTCACTCATTACATATTCTGATATTCATCTCTGTTGGATGTCTACATTATCACGGATTGACTGATAGCTTGAACTTTTTCCCTCTAATGTGCTTTTACTAATTTGATTGATTTGTATTTTGCAGTGTGGTTCTGGACGGTCAGTTGCACCAATTAAAGCTGGATTCGTTGCCCGTGTTGGACGTAGGAATCAAGGATCTTAAGGAAACCAAAATCATTTTTCTTATATGTTTGCAATATAAATTTTGTTCCACCGGTTTTGAGAAAGAAGAAAATAGAACCCGGTAATTGTTGGATTTTAAGTAATTGGCTTCACAACAATAAAGATGATGTTTTGTTTCGGTTATAAGTGTAGTGAATTTTCTTTGCACCAGTTTCATGTGTTCAGCTTGATTTGCAATCACACTTCTTTTGTTAGAATCATAATTGTGTCATGTTAGAGTTCATGTCAGAGTGGGGCAAAATAACAATACATGTAAGACTAGGGTGCTAATTGAGTGAATTGATCACGAGCAAAGGGGTGCTTGACTCGACTCGAAAACTTTTTACATGTGTTTGACTCATGCTCGCTACTCGCTAAGCTTAATAAGACCTTGCTCGACTCGTGCTCATTAGAGTTTTGAACGAGTTAAGTAGTTCACGATATACTCGTTAAGGTTTTGGTCCTTTTAAAATATATTATAGGACATTTTTTTTGTTTACTTAATATAAGTTTTCTTTTTTATTAAATTGTTAATTAGACTTTTTGCAAGCCTTTTGTTCAACTAGCTTATCGAGTTGAGTCAAACTTTTTAAAACATGGCAACTTCTTTAAAAATTATGTGTTAATAAAAAAATGTTATCGAGTTGTTCACGAGCTTATCAAATTGAGTCAAAGCTTGCTCAACTTGTGCGCGTTAACGTATCAAGTCTAGCTGAATTCGAGTCCAGTCAATTCGAGTCTAGTGATGAGCTCCAAGTATATTACTAATATTCATTTGCTTGCAAATAGTTTTTATTGTATTGGAAAAAAAGATTATACAAATGATCGAGGTGGAGTAAATCCGAGTGTTTAATGCCTTTATGTCAATTTTATTTATTTTGTAGCAAGTCGGTGTCAATTCAATGAGTGATACAAGTTGGTGTTAATAACTTAATATTTACAACTTAATCTAAAGTTGTTATCAATGAGTGTAATTTTGCCATTATCAAAAGCTTATGGCATCATTCCATTAAATAATAAAAGTTGGTGTTAATAACTTAATATTTACAACTTAATCTAAAGTTGGTATCAATGAGTGTAATTTTGCCATTATCAAAAGCTTATGGCATCATTCCATTAAATAATACAATCACAACCTTAACGAAACAAAGGTGTGGTGGTTCGTTTTACATAGATTCGTTCTATGTTAAATAATTAAGTTGATAATATAGCTTATTCATTTTGACTAAAATTAGTGACATGGATTACGTAAGCTATTAGGTATGCAAAACCTAACCCCCTGGCTGCTGCGGCCTTCTATTATTGCCATTAATTAAATAAGGGAATTTTGTTAATTACTACCTAAAAAACAGAGGCTTTGTGAATTAACAAAATTTCCATTAAATAATTATGTAATAATAAAGACTAAATTTACACTATATATAGCATCAATTACTTTCATATCTTTACAATAATATTTCATACAAAATATAGAAACATACACACGTACGTACTATAATCAAATGGCAAGTTTCATTGAAGAAGCCGAGCAGAAGCCAAAGAAGATTCAGCTGTACTCATGGTGGAGGAGTTCAGCCTCGGCAAGGGTTCGAATCGCTCTTAACTTGAAGGGGATCGAATTCGATTACAAAGAGGTGAATATACTCAAAGGAGATCAATTTAAACCCGAGTTTGTGAAGATGAGTCCTCGAAGTTTTGTGCCTGTTTTAGTTGATGGTGATTCAGTCATCTTTGAGTCCTCTGCTATAATAATGTATTTGGAAGAGAAGTATCCCCAACCCTCTTTGTTGCCTCCACCAAATGATCTTCCAAAAAGAGTTCTCAATTATCAGGTCAATTATTCTTTTTTATTTTCTTAATTTCTAAATTTATATCTTTCGATGATGCACACACGTATACATATTTTGTTGAGAGGTGACTTTTATGTTATGTTACGTTAAAGCTTGACTTGTTACATGATAAATGTCATAATTACCATACTAACACGTAATTAATGTTTGTACGTACGGAAATGATAAAATAACAGGTTGCAAACTTGGTAGCCTCAAGTATACAACCGTTTGTAAATATACAAGTGCAAAAATATATTGAAGACAGATTTGGGTCAAATGAGAAGAAGGGTTTGGCTAAACATCAATATAAAATAGGGTTTGCAGCATTGGAGAAGTTGTTAGAACAACATGCTACCAAATATGCTACTGGTGATCAAGTTTCACTTGCGGATGTGTATTTGGCACCGGAGATAGATTGTGCAATCAAGTTATTCGACATCGATATGAACGGCTTTCCATTGCTGAAGAGGTTGTATGATTCGTGCTATCAACTAAGCACGTTTCGAGACACTGTTATTGAAGCGCAACCTGATGCTCCAGATGAATGAATAATGAATGATACATATAATCTGTTAAAGAATAAAATGATTAATTAAGCTTCCTCTGTTATTTATATTACCTGGTTTAAATAAAAAAAGTTGATCAATGTAATAAATTAAGCTTTTTCTGGGTATTGTAGAGACTAGTGAGTGTGGAATGTGGATACATTCATGAGTGTTGAGGTAAGGAGTAATATGTAAGGTGATGAATAAATAAATAATTGGGTACTAAATGGTTGTGGATATGGAAATTGGGTAATAAATAATTGAATATTGTATTCTGTGTTATTTGCAAATTCTTAGCTATATGCTTGTGCAGCTAAACTAGGTATAACAGCCACATATATGAACATATAGTAGTTATAGTAGTTCAAATATATATATGAACATACATTTTTTCCCCCTTCCTTATATCTTAACTCTCCCTTTTTTTCTTTCTTACCTCTATTAATTTTCTTTCTCCTCTGTATCAATTTGAAATTTTCTCTCTCTCTCTCTTTTTTTTTTCCTTATAAGTTAGTTTTCTTTCTTACCTCACTTTTCTTCAACCTTTAAACTTCATTGTCCTTCTACTTTGGATATTCTCCGATTCGTCACCATTGTAGCATCCTCCATTGTCATTATCTTCATCGTGATTGGAATCTTGAAGTAATTTTGAACCTTTTTTCATTTTTTTTTTGGTTTATAAATATGTGAATGTCATAAAATAAAATGGTTAATTTCTATCAAGTTTGCATTTGTAATTCCTAATTACCATGTTATAGATCGATAATTATTGTCTCTATGATGAACCAAAATTAGATTTGAGGTGGTAATTCAAATTTTCAGTTAAAATAATTACGATCGAACTTGTGTATAATATATGTAAAAAAAAAAAAAATTAACACGTAGTAATTTAAACTTGAACATTTAGTACACTAAAATGAACATTTAGTACTTATAAAATGAACATATTTTAACGATTTATTTTATCTTTATTTTTCGTTAATAATTATATACAATGAATTTGAACCTATATGAATATATGAAAATCATGTTCATTTTTAATATACTTAATGTTCATAATTTTTTTTGACGTGTTCATTTTTTTTACGTGTTTATTTTTGTGTACTAAATGTTCATATTATTTAATGTGTTCATATATTTTTATGAAATGTTTACATATATTTTTATGAAATGCTCATTATATTAGGTATGGTCCAACTATTCTATAATTTTATGATAAATGTTCATTTTTAATGTACTAATTGTTTTTTTTTTTTTTTTTACATGTTCACGTTTTATTACTAAATGTTCATTTTTTTATGGGTTTATATTTATTACTAAATGTTCATAATTATTTTTACTAAGTGTTCATAATTTTTTTTTTTACTACATGTTCATTTAATTATGAAGGTCATGGCCCAGCAATTTTATGATTTTATGATAATCATGTTCATTTTTTATATTAAATAATCATTTTTTTTTAATGTGTTCACTTTTTAGTACTAAATGTTCACTTTTTTTTACCTGTTCATTTATTATTACTGAATGTTTTTTTTTTTTTTTTACGTGTTCATATTTTTTTTTAATAAATGTTCATTTTATAGGGCGTGGTACAGCTATTTTAGCTGAACCAGGATGCATCTAAGACTTATTGCTAATTATTTGTATTTATCTTTAAACATTGGGCTTCTTATTTTGGGGCCTTGAGCAGCAACTCCGATTGCCCTGGCCCAAATACGGCCCGTTCTAGACGGCCAGTAAGCTTTCTTTACACCAATTTCACGTGTTCAGCTTGAATTGCAATAATTTCATTTTTTATTTTTTTTTTTGTTTTTATTGGAATCATAAAAGTGTCATGATATAAATTTCATATTAAGTAGGGTAGAATAACTGAATAACAATACATGTAATGTAATAATTGTGATTTTTATTTTTTTTCCTATTTTGGGGAAATTTTAGTGGTGTAAAATATCACACGATACCAATGAATTTAATTGTCAGTTTAATTAATATAAAGGAGATATATCTTGTCACTTTAGCAATCAATCAAACCATTAGGACTTCTTTAGACATAGAGAGGCTATGGTGTGCTTGTGTCCCATTTAAGTTTAAGGCCCAAATTGATATTCCATTTTCACCAAACATGGATAATGCATTATTGCATTGTATAATAGTTATGGCATGATTATTAAGAACGAAAGTGAGAATTATTTCAGTTATGACAATCATCAATGATGATGATGAGGAACAAGAGATAGACAATACATTGGTTAATTACAAGTATTAGTTCGTACTTAAAGCTGAAGATTAGTTAATACTCACCTCACTGTATAAGTATAAGTGGTGCGATCGTCACATAAAACGTCTTCTTTATGTTGAGATAATTAAAAAAAAAAAATATATCAAATAAAACAACCTTTGTTTAGAGAGTATTTAAATTTTGGAGCATAGCATAGCCGAATGAAATTTGTTTTTATATTTTCAAATTTGTCTTATTAGTTTAAGCTCAATCAAAGTTGTACTATGTAGTAAGTACAACAACAACAACTAACAATGCTTTCAAAAAAAAAAAAAAAAAAACAAAACAAAAAACTACTTAATTTATTTGGCTTTTATCTAATCCCTGTTCCAAAGGATTTTTTTTTTTTTTTTTTTTTTTTTCACTAGCTATTAAGACAGTACAATTATTACAAACAAAGACTAACTCTCAAAAACCAATAAACAAAAGAAATCAACAAAGGCTTGCAAAGTTGCAATCAATCAACTCACTATCTTTAACTTGATTAATTTATCTGTATAAAGTCTAGAAAAGCTTAAACAAAACATATTCTAAAATTGATAGGCTCAAGGCATATCATAAAAGGTTACATATATAATAGACTAAAGAATAAAAGTCACATAAAAATATAATTATGAAATACTTTCTAACATAAGACCAAAATATTTTGATAGGTTTATGAAATTATGTGGTCCAATATAATATTATGAAGATATGCAATACGTTATTAAAAAGGACAAAGTCAGCAAAAATTACATACAATTACAACAAAACGTTAACTTTGCCGTAACTCATCGTGTTGAACATCAACCCAAAACTGACATTTGTTATAGCTCTTCAAAACATGAACTACGAGTACTAATTTAATACTCTATTACTATCTGGGAAATTTCCCCTAATTCAGATGAAACGAGTTAGTATTTTATACTCATGGAGTACTATGGATCTTGGTACTCTATACCCAATATACTTGAGTTATTTTGTCTAAATTTTATGTTATTTTGCTTAAATCTTGTGTTATTTTGTTAAAACAATATGTTATTTACTTATTTAATTCAAACTCAACTCGTGCTATTTTACATAAAATAACATGTAGTTATTTAAAAATAACATATATGTAAATTGAAATAATAAGAAGTTCACGTCAAAATAACATTAGCAGCGTTGAGTTTTAGGGCATCGTGAAGAGAATCAAACACTTCAGGAGGTACTAAATTTCTGGACATTAACACATTTGATCCCTTAAATGGCTTTGAATCCATTGATTTATAGGAAACCCTTGGGAAACCCAGAAAATTGAAAGAAGTAAAGAGGAGAGAAAAAGTGTATTTGATTTTGAATTGGAGTAGCCGAGAGGAAGAGACAGAGTGAGTGTGAGAGGTTGATTTATGGGAAACCTAGAAAATTGGAAGAAGAAAAGAGGAGAGAGAAAGTGTGTTTTTTGAGTTGGAGTAGCTGAGAGGAAGAGAGAGAGTGAGTGTAGGAGGAAGATGACTGAGAAAAAGGGCGATGAATTTCTAATCAAAGTAGAGTAACGCTTTGTTTGGATAGCAAGTAGGAAGGAAAGGAAGGGGAGGGAAATAGGAGAAAGGGAAGGGGAAAGAAAGGGAGGGGGAGGTGAACTCCATTTTCCCTCCAAATCTCTCCAAATTCGAAGGGATTATGCTTATTAAAGAGAGAGGAAAAATGGATCCCTCCATCTCCTTTCCCTTCCTCCCCTCAATCTTTTACCCAAATAAGAGAGTTTGTGCCCCTCCCTTTCTCTTCCCTTCTTTTCCTTCCATTTCCTTCTCTTCTATTTTACTGTTTTAGTTGCAAGTTGTACATTTTTGTTAGTTCATAGAATAAGTTTCATAGAATAGGTTGGTGGGTTCAGTTCGGTGGGTTCGTGGGTGGTAGGTTCAGATCAGTGGTTGCTAGATTCGGTGGGTGCTTGGTTCAGATCAGTGGGTGCTGGGTTTAGATAGGTGTTGGGTTCAGATCGGTGGTTGCTGGGTTCGGCGGTGCTAGGTTTGGTGGGTGTTGGGTCGTCGTCGGTGGTTGCTGTCTTACTTGGTTCGTCGGTGTTGGGTTCATTGGTTGCTGGGTTCGGCGGTGTTGGGTTCGGTGGTTGATGAGTTCGTCGATGTTGGGTTTGCTGGTCGCTGGGTTCGTCGGTGTTGGGTTCGGTGGTTGCTGGGTTCGTCAATGCTAGGTTCGCTGGGTACTAGGGTCGTCGGTGCTGGGTTTACTGGGTTCGGTGGTGGGTGGTTTCTTTGCAGCTAGGTGGTGCCGGTGGTGTTATTTAATTTAATTTTGGTTGTTTTTTTTTTATTATTGGGGAGGGGGGGGGAGGGGGTTGGATTACTACTTAAATATATACCCTTATGTTTTAATAATCATGCTTAAGATCTTTTGCAAGGGAGTCCGCAAAACACTAGTTTGTGGCGAGTAATAAGAATCGGAGGTAGTATATATTTTTGTAATGTCAGGCAAGATGTTAAGGATGATATCATTAGTAGCTTAGGGTTTGTTGAGGGTATGCTTCCTTTTAGATACCTAGGAGTGAATGTGAGTGCTAATAAAAAGTTGGGTAAGGAAAAGTCTTATTGACAAAATCACTGGAAAAATTAAGACTTGGGGTTGTAGAAGCTGTCTTATGGTGGAAGAGCTACCCTGCTTAACTCTATTCTCGTGTCTATGCATGTGTATCGGGCTTTTATTTTTATTTTGCCCATAACAGTGCTAGATGGGGTTGTGGCTGCTATCTGCAGGAACTATCTGTGGGATGGTAAACTTGTATATTCTAGGTTTCCCTCTATAGCATGTGATTATGTTTGCATAAGCAAGAAGCAAGGTGGCTTAGGCTTGCATGATATTCATGTCTAGAATATTGCAATTGTGGGCGAGCTTATTTGGAACATTGCTCAGAAGAAAGATATGCTTTGGCTAAGATGGGTCAATAGTCTGTACTTGAAGAATAAAAACAGGAGAAAATATAAGTGCCCTCCTACTTACAGTTGGAATTGGAAGCAGATTTGGTGGGTTAAGGATAAGCTAAAAGTTGGTTATAGGAATAATGCTTGGATTACTGATCCTAAGGGGTGTTCTCTATAGCTAGTGGTTACAAATGGCTGAAGCATGACTCAAATGATGTTGCTTTAGAGTAATTGGGTCTGGAACAGATTCAATATCCCTAAGCACAGGTTTTGCTGGCTGGTTATGTGGAGAAGATTTAAAGTCAAAGATTAGTTAACTAAACTGGGAATTATCAATGATAATTATCTTTACCCTCTTTGCAATCTGATGCCTGAGACTGTATGTGGATCATATATTCTTTGAGTGTCAGTATAGTAGAAGGTGTCTTCAGAATGCCATTAAGGTACAGCTTAACTCGGATAGTATTGAAGACTGCAATGCAAAGCTGGAGCAGTTTATAGGAAGATTTAAGAGAAGGGTGGTGCAGAGCTATTTTGCTAGGCTTATCTACTGTATTTGGAAGCAGAGGAACAAGGTAGTGTGGGAGAAATGCTTGAGAAGACCTAAAGCTATGATAAGAGATCTGAAGTTTGAAGTTTTTCAAAGAATTAGCTTTGTAATGCCTGTTAAGACTAGTATAAACCATTGTAATTGGTTTAGGAGTGTGCTTTGTTGACTAGGGGTGTTTCCCTGGTCTTGGGATGTAGGTTGAGGCTGTTATGTTCAGTTCTTCTTGCTGCAAAACTGTTGTATTGGTGATTAAGTGTTAATAATATTCTTTTTATTTTTTCAAAAAAACAAAAAGTTCACTTCAAAAAAAAAAAAGTTTTGATAAGGGTTACTCAAGTTCAAATTACAACTAAAATAATAAGATCTAATAAGTTCAGCTAAGTTAAGATAAGATAAGATAGCTTTAGATAAGTGAAAATCAGGTGAATAGAACACATCCTAAAAGCATTTTAAAATTAGCTTATCAAACAATTATCAGCTATTTACCAACCACTTTTACACAATCAACTATATATTTACAACCAGCTGATATAACAAGCTAGTCAAACTAGTTAATACAACCACCTAATTACCAAATAGGGTCCTCATCTATCCCAATAATTATAACTATTATATTTAAGTCTATTAAGTATCAATAATTTTGTGCCGTTTAAAATTTAACACTTATAAAAAAAAGAGACAACTATGAAAACTGTAAAAAAGGAATACGAGGACATCTTATTTGCGAAGGGTGTAAAATAATTATTGGAGGAAAATAATCACCCAATTAATATGGAAGAAAATCATATAATTGATATTTCTATATACTTTTGCATCATTATTTATTAGATTAAAGTTGTTTGTTTAGGAAACATATCAAAATAATTTAAAATTATCCTATTGCACATATATATATATATTACCGTCAAAACAAATCATCATATTAATAAATGCATTTATATGCTTAAATCACTAAATACCATGCTCAAGCTCAATGTATTTGAAAAAAATTTACTTCATTGGCTTCATATTATTTTTAACATACCCTTTCAGATATTGTGAAAAGATAAATTGAGACAATTTTAACAAGATATCACAAGACTATTTTACTTAATATATACTACCTCTGTTAAATATTAGTTACAATTTTGAAGTATTATTTGTGAGATACTTCGTATAAAATAGCATTTTAAAGTTGCAATTAATACTTAACGGAGATAGTAAATTTATAAAGGGTCAAATTAATACTTTGTAGGGTCCATAAAATAATGTGATGAAATGTTGTTGGAGGAAGTATGTTATAAGAAAATCCCGTTGTTGATATACAATGACCCCATTTTTTTTTTTCACAAAATCTAAAAAAATAAAAACATGAAATACTCTCCATAGTCCATGCTAATGATACTTACTAAGATACTATATACTTCGTACTTTACTTCCACACATGGCTCTAATTTACCCACCTACACAATTAGACTTGTGGTTTAGCTGACATTTCCAACTCCTTTACTTCATAATTTTTAAAAACATCCCACAATTATTTTATAGCCATAAAGACTACATACACCCCATTTTATTTATTTATTTTTTATGTATCCCACTAGGCCACAACATTTCCCCCCACCCTCAACTTCTCAATATAAATTCTCCCAAATTTCTCTATTTACCAAATTCTATCATCAAACATTTCATACCAACCCATAAAAAACACACACACCACACCACCCATAACATGGGCTCTAGAGGTGACTTTGAGGAGCCTCTCCTCACATCCCAACCTCCTCTCCTTCTGCCGCCTTCGCATAAGGCGGCGAAAGAGACGATCCCGGCTTTAGAAGAGACCTTAAGCGACCGTGACATGTCATTTCTCCGACGTATATGGCTGGCCACGTGGCTAGAAATGACCTATTTAGTCCCACTTGCGGGACCCGCAATTGTAGTGTACTTGCTAAACAACGTGATATCGATGTCCACACAAATATTTTGCGGTCACCTCGGTAATCTTGAACTTGCGGCCACTTCTCTCGGCAATAACGGCGTTCAACTCTTGGCCTATGGTCTCATGGTACGAAGTTTATTCTTTTCCTATATATATTTTTTAATTTCTAATTTTTATTTTCAATCCTATTTCCTCGGCATTAGTTACTCGTATATCATTAATTTTTATTTTTGAGTATAAGTTGTCATAAAATACAAGTACTAAAAAAAAAATGTAGTTGTTCAGTTGTTGCATCATGTGTTGTAAAAAAAATGTAGTTGTTCAGTTGTTGCATCATGTGTTGTAAAATACGAAGTATTAATATGGGTACACTCTAATGTTGAAATAAGTTTCAGAATATATTGTTTCTTGGTAAAATTTGCTTGCCTAATAACTAATTATGCATATATGAATTATGGGAATTAATTAACTGAAATAATAAATATGATATTTATTATCATTTTATTTTATCACATTTGTCTAATTATTGGAAGAGTTAAGGGGAAACACTCCCCTAGATATTTTTTTGTTACTACGTGCAGGGTATATTAAATGTGGGCATTGAATAAGTAACCCAAAAAATTAACTTCAATCAGTTGAGATAATTATACTTTTATACCGTATACTCGGGTATATTATACCGACTTCGTAAGTTCATATAAATGACTTATTGAATTTTAAAATAAGGTCAGAAAAATAGGATGTTCCGAAAATTTCCAACCTTTCATTTTCTAATATAGTCTTTTGTCCATTTTAGTATACTACGTGTTAATTTCTTATTAATGCTTATTACTACAATACTCCATAGTTCAAACTCTTTTTTGTTTTTTCATACTACGTAGTGCATACTTATCTAGGGACCATTGGATCATATGGCAGAGACTAATTAGTAATTACTGCAGTACGTGCCAAAATTTGGGTAAAAAAAAATAAAAATCAGTAAGTTAAATTAGAATATAATAAAATTAAGGGGTAGGTATCAAAGTTTGATTTGAAAAGAACAATTCAGTAATTGGACAAATTAACATGACACGCATATTTTGTTAAGAGGAGTAGATTTGGTGGTAGTCATGATCTAAAGTTGTAGAATATGGAGTACTTGTTAATATTATATTGTAAGCGGATGTTGTTTAAAAAGTATATACCATTTCTTAATTATTGTATTTGAGTTGCGAGGAACACTCACAATCATCGTGATTAAGATAGATAGGTTTATAATTAAAGTCTACTAGTACTTCATTTCATTGTTTGACTTTAGCCTAAAGATGGCTGTGGCCTGTGAGCGATTCTATTTATGGACTATTAACAATGGAGGATCTTGGGTCATTAATTGGGGGTCAAGATTTGATCCTCCTATCTTTTGCTCAAAACTAACCTATTTAAACACAGTCTACTCCGTGTATCAGATTTTTTTATATAGATTTATTACACATCAATTAGTTACTATAACCAATAGCTCCATAAATGTTAGGGGGGCCGGGCTGGGCCCTTCCTTGCCTCATTTGATCCACCATCAAGTATCAGACTACTGTGACTTGGGCCTGGCGAGCTAACGCGTTACTTAGGCCTAAGTCGCCTTCTTAGAAAGAAAAAAAAAAAAGGCGACTTAGGCCTTACTTGCTACTCTTGCCTACCTTGTACCTTTGCTATGTCATGCATTTTTTGTGCTTGGCAATGTTGTGCCATAGCGTTAGTAGTTGACATTAGATGAGATAAAGGACAATACTGAACAACACTTTTCACATGTTAATCCAGCCTACTTATCTAAAGGGAAAAAGAGTTTAGAGAATCCCCATATTCCCAAGCAAATGTAACTGATGGGGCTTCAACTTGTAACTTTAAAATCACAAGGTGTGCTCCTCACTAATTCCACCACCAAACTTGCCGTTAGATTTATGCCTTTTTCATACATATTTCTAACTACTTGATTAGTTGATTGTACTACCGTAATAATTAAATACTTCAAAATACTAATTGACAATAGATTTGATTAAGTACATTTGAGAAATAGAGGAAGTATTAAATAAGAAATAAGAAGTATTAAAATTTAAGCTTTAGATTAATACTGGGTAGATACGAAGTATTTTATTATGGAAAGACTGAAGGTGCAAGAGTTGGTAAGACAAAAAAAGGGTAGATGAATGATTTTGTCATTATGTAGACGTGCAGACAGGACAAGACGGCTGTGGGCATGGACTTGTCAACGTGATCACGTGACTTTCTATCACTGTATCTATATACTCAGTGGCGGATCTAGGATTTCCGAGATAGTGTGTCACCATCAATTATTAATCATTTGTGAAAGAACAATTTTTTTTTTCCATGTCTTGTTCATAATTAATTTCAATCCAAAACTTATATATATAAAATATATATATATATGTATATATACATACATATATATGTATATATACATATACCAAATTGATTTCAATCCAAAAATAGGACACAAAAATTCATATCACAACCAAATATAGTACTTAAGAATTCAATTTTACAAGTCGAAAATACTACAAATAACATGTTATAAACCAATGGTACAATAAAATTATTATATTGAATTAACTTTATGATTTTTTAGTTAATTGATAAGCTTTATGGGGAAATATTAAAATTGGTTGTACAAATATAAGATATAAAAAGGGAAAAAAAATTATTAAAAAATTATATAAAAAAAAGTGAGATAACTTAAAAGACCAGTTATTAAATATAACTGGTCTCTTTAATGAAAAAGAAAGTAACGCAAAAAAATTGTGAAATGCAATAGCAGCATCAAAGAGACCTCTTATATAAATAACAGGTCTCTTTAATATATAAAAGAAAACACATCAAGTCTTTTGTAGCAATAGCAGCATCAAAGAGATCTCCTATCTTAATAAGCGGTCTCTTTGATATTGTTTGTTGTTACCACTAGCAGCATCAAAGAGACCACCTATCTATAATAAGGGGTCTCTTTGATATTTTATTTTTTTAAAAAAATACTGTGTCACCGGACCCACTATGACTAAAGGTGGGTCCGCCCCTGTATATACTGCAGGTGCAACTTGCATACCACACTTTACTCGCATTTTGTAAGAAAAATGACATGGCTAAAATCTCACACGGGTCAAATCATATTGAATTAGCAAAATAAAACTGATTTTTAGGAGTACAAAGAAAAGGGTAAGAGAATTTTCGCCATCAAAGACTCTTGAATTGATTTGACTCTCATAATCTTATGGTTAATGTTGATCACAAATGCACAATAATTTGAAAGGGATTTCAGATAGGTTTGCATTTGTCAATTTTATGCGCATTAAGTTACTTTGATTTTTTAATAATTTGTACTCGTAAAATGGTTTCTTGTACACTCTCTATATATTATAAAGTTACTTATTGGTTTAATAGAGTAGCACCACCTTGTCAGTTGTGACATTATCAATACACCACGTACGTATTTGCACAACAAGATAACGTTATTAGGCAACATATTAAACTTGGTTTTCTTTGGATTATTTGATGTATGGCCTTATTAATTACTCATGATATGTATGTAACTTGCACATGTAGCTTGGTATGGGAAGCGCGGTGGAAACACTATGTGGGCAAGCATACGGTGCTAATAAGCACGACATGCTTGGAGTTTATATGCAACGATCCACTGTCCTCCTAATGGCCACCGGTATACCATTAATGATCGTGTACCTTTTCTCTAAGGACATCCTTTTACTACTAGGGGAGCCAGAGAACATAGCCTCAGCAGCCGCGATTTTCATATATGGTTTGATCCCTCAAATTTTTGCATACGCGTGCAATTTTCCTATACAAAAGTTCCTCCAATCACAAAGTGTGGTGTTCCCAAGTGCATACATCTCAGCCGCGGCCCTAGTGGCTCACATTGGGCTTACTTGGGTTGCGGTTTACAAGCTTGGATGGGGCCTCCTTGGGGCTGGTTTGGTGTTGAGTTTTTCGTGGTGGATCATAGTCGTGGCACAGTTTGTTTACATAGTGGTGAGCTCAAGGTTCAAGTATACTTGGACCGGGTTTAGTTTGGCTGCGTTTAGTGGGCTTTACGAGTTCTTCAAACTGTCTGCTGCCTCAGCTGTGATGCTGTGTTTAGAAACTTGGTATTTTCAGATATTGGTGTTGATTGCTGGCTTGCTCGATAATGCTCAACTCGCCTTAGACTCCCTTTCAGTAAGGTATGAGTTTTTTGCTCTATAATTTCAAGTTAAAAATCATAAACATGCATCATGTATCCTCTTCTTTTGACAACATTCACTATACATATAATCGTCATTGTTCATGGTATATAAGCTCCTTCCTAAATTAAATTCGACTAAGCCTTCTTAAGGCATAATAATTAGCTCCATTGTCGTTTTTCCTATGTATACACCCTAGTTAAAATAATAGTCACGTATACTAATTTAGAATGTCAGGAAATAAATTATTACAACTCATTCCAAATCGAAAGAGTAATAGCTACTTGTGGCTTGTTATTAGTCGGAATCACAAATGATATGCGATTTTTCACCATCTAAAATATATGTAGGGTCTAAAACTTTAAGGGGGTGTTTGGCAATTGACTTTTGCCTAGCTTTTGGCTTTTGACTTTTTAATTTGGTCAAACAGCCAAAAAAATATGTTTGGTAGTTGGTTTTTTTTTGTTGGTTTTTAAGCAGGCTTTTCTGCCAAAAGCTAATAGGAGGAGCTTTTTATATTGGCTTTTGGCTTGTTGGCCCACTTTATTACTAATAAATAGCTAACAACCATAAATAATTTCACCAAACACTTTTGTAAACGGCCGGCTTAAACAACTAACTTAAAAAGCCAATTCATACAGTTTCAGCTAGTCAAACAAACCAACAGTCAACCGCCGATTGCCAAACAACCCCTAAATCATTCAATTTTGTTTTCCCTTCTATCACTATTGATGATTGCTTAGGGAGAGATGGCCACCATTGAAAATCAGTTCATTTAATGTTCCCTTAAATTAGTATACTGTTTAGTATAGAAGTAAGAAGTGTTATATAATAAGAGGTATGGGCCTCTTGTTTTACTAGGGTGATGTTTCCTCTAATAAATTGGATGATTTGGACCTCACATAATGCATAAAAAATTGCATCAACATTTAATTCATAGATATTTCTATTTCAAGGGTGGTGATCGAAAGGGAAAAAAAACTACAAATAACAGACTTTCCTTCTTTATATTCATGAATATGTACGTGTCATTTGTCGTATTGGTAGAAAAAGGTAACAATTCCTGCAAAGGGACATATGAACATGAATGCATGTAATCAGTTGTGTAATATGTTCGACTTTTGCAAATAATTAGCTACATGGCCCAATTATTATTAACTTATACTTCTTGCTAAATGCAATGTTAATTACATTGTTTTTCTGTAATATGGTACTAAATCCGTTTTAAATAATTTAAGTAATTTGTCATAAAGTGTGAGTAGAAAACGTCTAATAATTGTAAATAATTTGAAACAGAGGTAGTATAATAAATGTTCTATTCTTTCAACTGATTTTTACTGAACTTTGGCTCAACGTAGATTATTTTTAGTCGGGCTTAACTTATTTTTGCTAAGACTGACTGATTGCTGAACTGAATTATTTGATTACTAATTAAACTAGTTGTAAAAGCAATTTATCTTTTCCGAAACTTATATAAGTAAGCCGAGAAGAACATAGCCTTAAAACTCCGTGCATATGACAATATGCTCATGATTTAAGCTTATGAGTTGTGACTTTGTGTAATCTTGCAGCATGACAATTTCTGGATGGGTGTTCATGATTTCAGTGGGATTCAATGCAGCTGCAAGGTTAGCTACACTTTTATTTTCTCTTTAGTACTTGTAATTAGAAAGAGATATTCATCATATTTGAACCATAAATCCAAAGTAACATGAATTCAATAACAATAATCGTTTTTTTGTACTTGACAGTGTAAGAGTGAGCAATGAGCTAGGAGCAAAGCACCCAAAATCGGCCTCATTTTCTGTTGTAGCAGTGACAACCATTTCCTTCTTAATCGCCCTTATCTTTGCCATCCTTGTGCTCATTTTCCGGTATCAGCTGAGTTACATCTTCACTGGTGGAACTGAAGTCTCTGAAGCTGTTGCTGATCTCTCCCCCTTCCTCGCCATTTCTATCCTTCTGAATGGAGTCCAACCTGTTTTATCAGGTAACAAAATTTCGAGTTTTGTTTTTCAGTTTGGAACTTATAATTTAAGATTGATAGTACACAGTGATGACCACAGAAACAGCAATATGCAACATAAAAATGTGACAAATAACTTTGTGCACTGATCTAACTTGGTATCTCTTATCAAATAAGTTGAACAGAATAAGGTCTCTTTATAAGTAATTAGAACTAACATTGTAACCCGTTGTACTCTGTATAATAACATTGCTATGAAATGAATGCAAATACAAGTTACACAGCTTCCGTTGTACTCAGCAAATTAATTGGTGATTGTTGCTGATCTATGTGATGTTTGTCTTAACGATCTCTTAGTACAGGAATATGATTTGCTAAAGTTTATGATAATTTGCAGGGGTGGCAGTTGGATGTGGATGGCAATCCTTTGTTGCTTATGTAAATGTCGCGTGTTATTATGTGGTTGGAATCCCCGTTGGAGTACTACTCGGATTTTACTTTAAGCTTGGTGTTAAGGTAAATCCTTTTGTTCATTACTTTCACGCTACATTTATCGAATTATTGCTAGTTATAACACTTGTAAAATTCATATTTGGCACTTGTTAATCGTCCTTACAAAATGTCGGCATATTGTCTCATTGTAGGGCATATGGGGTGGAATGATCGGAGGTACTGTGATACAAACTCTTATTCTACTATGGGTCACGTATCGAACAGATTGGGAAAAAGAGGTATTGTTATTTGCTATTCATGCTTATTCTATTTAATGTGATTTAGGTACATATCTTTATCAATATGTTCTTGTGGTCGGACTGTCAGAGTACCTCATTTAAAGGACTTAATTGGAGCGTTGTACCAAATATAATACGGGAGTAATGCTAATGCAGCTAAAATTGTTTTGGTCTGCCTCTTTACAGTCTCTAAAATGCATATTTAAAACGGATATCCTCTTCCATTCTAAAATTAATACAATAAATATGGACCATTTTATAATAAAATTGTTTTGGTCCGACTCTTTACAGTTGGAGTATTCAACCAGTATGGACCATTTTATATAGGCATCAAACTTGTCCATAAGCTAATTATAGAAGAGATAACTGAGATGTTAACCTCTGAAATTACGCCATAATATTCGTAGAATTTGTTTGGAATTTAATTAGGCAGTCTCAAAGGACAGTGATGTACTTAGATTTTGGCTTAATTTGTCGAGAATTCAGTTGATAAAGCCATTTAATTCTCTCTGATAGTACTCCCACTATATAACAAAGGTGTTTTGGAGTATTTTAGTAGGTGAAGAATTGAATATTATCCAAAATCATGCATGATGATGAAAGAAATTAACGTGTAACACATAATTATCCAACCTCATTAAGCAAACTAGTCATGCCATATATAACTTAATGCATATTTTGTCAAATATTTGAGTGCATATTGCATCTTTGATATGTAACGTAGGAGTATTAATTTTGATTTTATTGGGTAAATGAGTGCATATTGCAAAAGTAGTAAGGTTAATTGAATTTCTACTTTGTAATGTTTGTTATATAGTGTAGTATGTGTACAATCATAATACATTCATACACCTTTAATTGTCGTCTTACTATTTAAAATTACAGTATCACAATGACAATTGTTTCCGCGTATATTACATTTTCTACATATAGCAATTTTTGTTGTTACGTATAGTAAGACTTGAAGTTTAAAATTTCCCATGTTCATGTGTATTAACATATTGTCGTCGTATGACAAATTAATATTGAGCATACATTTGCTTCAATTATGTGTTCTATAATGTTTGTTTCGTGTATTTGTTTTGTTGAACAGATCTTAGCTTAGAAATGATATACTTTGTATGTATCAAAGTATACTTCTGAAAATGGTAATGATTAATCACATTATATGTTACATTTGCAGGTAGAGAAAGCTGCAGAACGACTAGATACATGGGATGCCATGAAAGAGCCATTGATAAACAAGATGAGTTGAATGTAAATCATCATTAACGATCAAATTTGTGCGACAAAAACTGAACAAAAGTGCAGTACTGAGTATCTCATCTATATACAGAGCTTCAAATCAAACATGAAAGCAAATTTTGTTCGTAGTGAAAATGGATGCATATTTGTTGTGGAAATTATATCCATTGCATTCAAGAGAATTTCCACAATGTTTTGATGTTATGGTTTGGAAATTGGATTTAGTCATCAGTTTTAGTTTGATGTAAAGATAGCAACATTGATAAGTTAGCCAACCACACCATTCAGAATGATTGAAAATGATAATTATTCCGACCAAAGAAATTTAATCTCTCTCCGTTCATAACAGTTGTTTAGCTTCTCCTTTCATTCCAAGTAATTTGTGAATTTGTCATACAGAATTTCAAAATACAGGTATTTGATCGTTTAAAATACTAATGTCTGCCATATAATCCTCAAAAACTTATACATGATCCTAAACGAAGAATACAAAGGGAGCTGACTGGAGCTCTTTACTAAAATCGAAGTGAACATTTTTCATTTATAACAACCAGGCTAGAAGCATTAGGATTAAGTACATGTGATAAAAAAAATCGGGCTAAGCCTTTGAATAAAATCTTGTGCCCAAACTAGCAAAATAATGTTGGGCCAAACGGTTTTTTTCGGGTCGGGCTCGGATTTTGAAATTAAAAAGTGTTTCTATGCCTGCCAAAACCAACACTTTTTCGGCTCGGTTGATGATCACCTCTAGGGCTCTAGGATTAAGGCAATATATCAATTATTTAAGCTCGATTAATGACTGAAAACGCAAAAACCTTAATCGAGCAATTTTCACAGCAAAGGATGTGCTTGTACTAAGGAATTTTTAGGCAAGCAAAATGAGGCAATTCTGCTAATATTTTGCCAATTTTAACCCCATATCGAATTATTATGGTTCAAAATGAACCTAAAAAGTGTTGAGAAAGTGCCAAAATGAAGTTCACATAATTGTAGCATGGTAACTTGTAGCTCACCACATGCATTTATTATGGACAATACTTTGTCTAAAAGTACAATCATGTATAATATTTTAATGGCAATATTTGCCTATAAATAAGTTCACCATCTTGTGAACTATGGATGTAGTAAAAAGAAGAAAATAACACCGACTCTTCCTTTTGTTCTTTTGATCTCTTCTATCTCCATCATTATAAACATACAATATCATCCTATAATTAGAAAATCATCTTTTAACACGTTATCAGCACCAATTCCTAGTCATGTATATTTATACCTACTTTTCAAAATTATAACAAATAAATACTATCTATTTCTAAATGTTTTGAGGAGTATGCTCTATAGTTGCCCATATTTTGGGATCCTCTATACCAGAAACTCAAACATTTACTATATTATATATCAAAAAAAAAAAAAAATAAGGAGGCAAAACATCGGTGAAAAAAAATATTCTCTTGCTTATGAATTTCATTACTATCCTCACTTGTTTTATTCATGTTGATATCTTGTTTTTTTCATAAATGTTGTTATTACATACTCACCTTTTATGTAAAATTTACTTTTAGTTATTATAATTGCTTAGTAATAACTTTGCATACATATTATTAACTAAATTAACAAAAAAAAAAAAAAAAAAGGATGCAGCCTTTTTTTTATTATTATTTTTCTTTCTTTTACATACTTTTTTGTGTTTCTTTCAGTTTTCGAACCCATGATCTTTTGTAGATATTAGGGCTCTCGGACCACTATGACTTGCATTCCCAGTGTGATAACCTTTTACAAATATAAATATTTATATTTGGGTCATAATTTTGCCAGTACATTAAACTATTATATGATATTTTTACAATTGTACAAAACAGTAACGGATAAACCTACCTCTATAAAAGGTAGATTTTCCCCCGATTTTCACCACAAACCCCTTATCTTCTCCCATTTTTTTTCTTTATCCAAAAATCACCCAAAATTTTTTTCACCCCTTCCTCTCCAATATGTTCCCCGACGACACCCAAAACACCCACACCTTCACTTTTGAAGAAGATTTAAGGAAGATAAAACAATATCTTCTTTTAATTATGGCGCTTGTAGTTATGTTAGTAGCAATATTAATTTTTGTCATGATGTACAAGTGAAGTTTGTTTATTTTTTCGGTTTAGTAGATTAAAAGCATGTTTTTTTTTTGTTTTATTATGTTGTTTTGTTGTTAATCATCATTGTATAATATTACCATTATTATTATAATTATAATTACTACTGTTGTTGTTGTTGTTGTTGTCATTTTGCCATTTATGCGACTACTATGATTTATTTTTGCCTAATTATATAATTACTCACAATGATAAACCAAGGGGGAGAAAAGAATTATATTATTTATGGTTTATTATTGTTAAATAAATTTAATTATCACGTGTTTCATTAACAAACTATAAATATGGAAGAATTAAACATATGTGTTGAACATATGATTTATTATTATAAACTAATCATCACATGATTTGTTGTAGTTAAAATGGGAGATCTTATGAAAAGACAATTCAGCATCCTAGATTTATCTGGAAAGAAATTTTTGGAATGGAAAGTGGATGCCATGATGAATTTAAAAGCTCAAGGGTTGGAGCACACTGTTAAAGATAATAAAAGTCCCTCTGGTCAAACAACTGATACTACCACTTCTACCATAACGGTTGAAAAACCTGTTACTGAACAAGAAAAGGCAAAAGCCTTAGTGTTACTAAGGCATCATTTACGTGAAAGCCTTAAAACCGAGTACATGATGGTTGAAGATCCCAAAGAATTATGGGATTGTCTTAATGAAAGATTTGGACACCACAAAAGGGTGCTCCTTCCTAAGGCATTATTTGACTGGAAAAATTTACGATTCCAGGATTTCAAATCCGTAATTGATTACAATTCAACCATGCATGAGATAGTATCTATATTGAGATACTGTGATCATCCAGTCACCGATGAACAGATGATTGAAAAAACACTCACTACCTTTCATGCAAGCAACATACTGTTGCAAGAACAATATCGCGAAAGAGGTTTTAAAAAGTTTAATGAATTAATGAGTGTATTGCTTGTTGCGGAACAAAATAGTGATCTTTTGTTGAAAAATCATAATCTTAGACCAACTAGGTCTTTGGCCACTCATCATGAGGCAAATGCAACAAGTTCTTATCCACCCGAGGCATATGCTACACGAAGAGGTGGACGTGGAAATTACAATGGCCGTGGAAGAGGCCGTGGAAATTATCGCGGACGAGGCCGAGGACGTGGTAGAAATAATTTTCAAAGAAACAGTAATTTCAAAAATTTTGAAAAGCAGAAGGGGCAGTCATCTGGAAGCCACAAACAAACTCCTTCAAAAGGAAAAGACACATGTTACAGATGTGGCATGACAGGGCATTGGGGACGTACTTGTCGTACGACCAAACATTTAGTAGACCTTTACCAAGCTTCTGTAAAAGGCAAAGAGAAAAATGCAGAAGCAAATTATGTTAATGAAGAAAATGCTCCTTGCCCTACCCTTGATGTGTCAGATTTTTTCATGGACAATGCTGAAATTGGAAATGATTTCATCTTCAGAGAAAATAACAATGCTTAAAAATCTATCTGCTAATGTAATATACACTATGTTTTAATATATTTTCTGTTTATGTACTGTATTTTAAAACGTCTAGTCATGTACTCTTAATTTCTATCATCAATAAAGGTTTGTATGATATTATTCTAAACTAATCTCATATTTATTTTATGAAGACATAGATATGCCTGAAGTTGGTTCCGAATATCAATGCCTTTTGGACAGTGGAACAACACACACTATCTTAAGGGATAGGAAATATTTTTCACAACTAAAATTGTTTCAGGCAAATGTAAATACTATTTCCGGGTCAGCAAAATTAATTGAAGGATCTGGAAAGGCTTGTATAATGCTTCCAAATGGAACAAAATTAACGATCAATAATGCTTTATACTCGAGTAAATCTCGAAGAAATCTCATAAGCTTTAAAGATGTACGCCAAAATGGCTATCATTTAGAAACAATGACAACAGGTCAAAAGGAGTATTTATGCCTCACGGCAAGAAAATCTGGCAAGAAATACATTTATGAGAAATTGCCAGCATATTCTTCGGGATTATATCATATAAACGTACGACCTGTGGAAATCAATATGGTATCTAACCAGAAGTTAGATGACAAACATTTGATTATTTTATGGCATGATCGGTTGGGACATCCAGCAACTGGGATGATGCAAAGAATAATAGCGAATTCAATTGGACATTCAATAAGAAATGTCAAAATTCCTCGATCGGATGAATTGACATGCTCTGCATGTTCACTTGGCAAATTAATAATAAGACCATCTATGAACAAAATTGCTATTGAGTCTCCAAAATTCTTGGAAAGAATTCAGGGAGATATTTGCGGGCCAATTAATCCAGCATGTGGACCATTTCGATATTTCATGGTTTTAATTGATGCTTCTACACGATGGTCACATGTAAGTCTGCTTTCAAGCAGAAATGTTGCCTTTGCAAAATTACTTGCCCAAATTATCAAATTAAGAGCACAATTCCCAGATCATACAATAAAGAAAATAAGACTCGACAATGCTGGGGAATTTACATCCCAAACATTTAATGATTATTGTATGTCAATCGGAATTGATGTTGAACACCCAGTAGCTCATGTTCACACACAAAATGGTCTAGCTGAATCACTAATTAAGAGATTGCAAGACCATTATTAATGAGGTCAAAATTTCCATCATCTGCTTGGGGACATGCTATAATACATGCAGCAGCACTAATTAGATTGAGACCTACAACTTATCATAAATTCTCACCACTACAACTTGTTTGTGGTCGAGAACCAAGTATTTCACATCTAAAAATCTTTGGTTGTGCTGTATATGTTCCCATTGCTCCACCCCAACGAACAAAAATGGGTCCACAAAGAAGGCTGGGAATTTATGTTGGGTTTGAATCCCCCTCTATAATTAAATATCTTGAACCATTGACTGGTGACTTATTTACGGCTAGATTTGCCGACTGTCACTTTAATGAAGCAGTATTCCCAGCCTTAGGGGGAGAGAAAGTGGACCCACGCAAGAAAGAAATAGGACTTATTTGGAATGCAACACAACTGTTGATGTTAGACCCACGAACAAATATGTGTGAACAAGAAGTCAAGAAAATTGTTTACTTACAAAGTGTTGCAAACCAATTGCCTGATGCATTTGTAGACACAAAGAAGGTGACAAAATCACATATACCATCAGAAAATGCCCCTGCCCGTATCGAAATCCCAACTGATAATAAGGCCATTGAGAATGAATCCTACGCACGCAGAAAGCGTGGGAGACCACTTGGTTCAAAAGATTCTAAACCAAGGAAATTGAAAAGATTGGATGGAATAGAAAATGAGACTAATGATATTTCCTCGTCAGAAGGTCAAGAAAAACCAAATGTGGATAAAAGAAAAGAAAATGATGATAATCCAAAAGGGGACGAACAAGAAGACAACCCTACGGGGAATGAAAAAGATGTTCAAAACATCGATAACAATGAAATTTCAATGAATTACGTCTCTACCAAGACTCATTGGAATAGGAAAGATGTTATCGTGGATGAAATATTTGCTAATTCCATCGCAATCGACATTGTGTCTGATGAAAATGATGTTGAACCAAGAACAGTGGAAGAATGCCGACACAGGATTGATTGGCCAAAGTGGGAGGAGGTAATGCTGGCTGAGTTGAAGTCACTTGAAAAACAAGAAGTTTTTGGAAAAATAACTCTTACACCAGCGGGTGTAAAACCCGTTGGATACAAATGGGTATTTGTGAGAAAACGTAATGAGAAAAATGAGATAGTTAGATACAAGGCAAGACTTGTAGCCCAAGGATTTTCTCAAATTCCAGGGATCGATTATGAAGAAACATATTCTCCAGTAGTTGATGCAACTACATTGAGATTTCTGGTAAGTTTGACAGTCACAAAAGGGCTGCAAATGCGATTAATGGATGTAGTGACTGCATATTTGTATGGGTCACTCGATACAAACATTTACATGAAAGTCCCCGAAGGACTAAAACTACCAGAAAACCACAAACCTAGACAATTACTTTCCATAAAACTAAAAAGGGCACTTTATGGATTGAAACAATCTGGAAGGATGTGGTATAATCGTCTTAGTGAATACCTTATGAGAGAAGGGTTCAAGAACAATCAAATTAGTCCTTGTGTTTTCATAAAGCGATCACAATCAGGATTCGCTATTATTGCAGTTTATGTTGATGATTTGAATATCATCGGAACCCCAAATGAACTTGAGAAAACTGCAAAATACTTGATGAAAGAGTTTGAGATGAAAGACCTTGGAAAAACTAAATTTTGCCTTGGATTGCAAATTGAGCATTTGAGTCATGGTATTTTTGTTCATCAATCAAACTATACAGAAAGAGTTTTGAAAAGATTTTTCATGGACAAAGCAACTCCAATCAACTTCCCTATGGTTGTTCGTTCTTTGAATATGAAAAACGATCCATTCAGGCCCCGAGAAGAAAATGAAGAAATTCTGGGTCCAGAAGTACCATACTTAAGTGCAATTGGAGCCTTAATGTACTTAGCTAACAACACTAGACCCGACATAGCTTTCTCTGTGAACTTGCTAGCCAGGTACAACAATGCACCGACATACATACATTGGAAAGGAGTCCAACACTTACTCCGATACCTACGAGGGACACAAGACCTTGGTTTATATTATGAACCGAAACAAGATGCTGCTCTCATTGGATATGCAGACGCTGGATACTTATCAGATCCTCAAAATGCCAAGTCACAAAATGGATATTTGTTCACTTATGGCGGCACGACAATATCATGGAAATCAACAAAACAGACATTGACCGCTACATCCTCAAATCATGCAGAGTTGATAGCCCTTTATGAAGCAGGACGAGAATGTGTATGGCTGAGGTCGATGATTAGTAATATCCAAGAAGAGTGTGGAATGAAAGCAATAACAGAAAACCCAACCACCATCTTTGAAGACAATACAACATGCATTGCTGAAGTAACTGAGGGATATATTAAGGGAGATAGAACAAAACATATATCCCCAAAACTATTCTTCAAACATGATCTGCAAAAGGATGAGGAAATAGATATCCAGCAAATTCAGTCTTGTGACAACCTTACCGATCTGTTCACCAAATCTCTTCCTTCTAAAAAATTTGAGCAATTAGTTCACAAAATTGGAATGCGTCATCTTCGTGAACTATGTTGAAATCAGGGGGAGTATTATATACACTGCACTCTTTTTCCCTTCGATCAGGTTTTTATCCCACTGGCTTTTTCCTGACAAGGTTTTTAATGAGGCACTATATCAAAACATATAATGTTTTTCTTTAAGGCAACTCATACCCCATTTCATGCGAACTTCAAGGGGGAATGTTGAGAAAGTGCCAAAATGAAGTTCACATAATTGTAGCATGGTAACTTGTAGCTCACCACATGCATTTATTATGGACAATACTTTGTCTAAAAGTACAATCATGTATAATATTTTAATGGCAATATTTGCCTATAAATAAGTTCACCATCTTGTGAACTATGGATGTAGTAAGAAGAAGAAAATAACACCGACTCTTCCTTTTGTTCTTTTGATCTCTTCTATCTCCATCATCATAAACATACAATATCATCCTATAATTAGAAAATCATCTTTTAACAAAAAGCAATTATTTTTGGCACACATATTTTCACAAACACAGTAGCCATATACAACTAACTCTAAAAAGTAAGCGATTGTTATATGTATACAGGGCATATGGTAGGGGATGGTTGCGGAAACAGCAATACAAACTCTGATTTTAACTCGGATTACTGCTCGAACTGATTGGATTAAAGAGGTAATGAGCTCAATTAGCCTATACTTTTGAATTTTGATGTCTATTCTATCTTTTTCAAGGCAGAACACTAGACTACTCGGATCATGGATCTGGATATCCTATTACATGAAGTGTTGTAAAGTTAGCAACTGTAAAAATTTACCATGACTTTCAGGTGGAGAAAGCGAAAAGGCGTCTGGATAAATGGGAAAACAAGAAAAAACCTTTGTTTAAGAGCTAAACGTCAAGGTGTCAAGGTCCCAAAAAATAATGAAGCAACTTGGCCAAATCAGTTTCCTTAACAAAGATTTCTTCTTCGTATTTCATTTTCTGAGAGATGTATCATTAAGTGCCTAAGAAATATTATTACCGAAAGACAAGCTCGAAATGTACAACTAGTTGGTTTGTTTTGCAAGATTTTACAAATTCTAACCAGAAATGACAAAATAGCAACTCTCATCATCTCAAACAGTCGAGATTAAAAGCAAAATCAAGATAACAGAACTTTGAAATAAAGTTATCAGTACATTATAAAAACTATATTACCAGATGAGAATAAAACGAAGTGGGTGTTACAAAAACGTAGACACATACATTTGGAAAACAAACTTCTACACAAAGAAATAAAATACTATTTATTGCATATACGGAATAATAGTCAGTTTACATTCAGAAGGCATCACTAAGAAAGTCAAAAGATTCAATAGGTGTGTGAATGTCGCCGACTCATCTAAAGCATAGCACAGATGTTTACATGTTTGTAACATCGCAGGATAACTCAAGCTACTCATCAACTCTAACCCTTTGTTTTCTTGTTTTTCTTTTTTCAGGGGCGGGGATGGGGGCGGGTGGTGGGGGGAGGTGTTTGAGATACAAAAATAATGACAATTCAAATCTACAGTGTAGGCCATATAGGGCAACTGTTAAATCCCAAAATGTTGCAAAAATCTAGGTACAAAAAACATTACTGCTCACCAGAATGATTAGTAATAATGCCACAATGTTTGGTCTTATATTGCGTCAATCTACTTCCATGTCATCTCGTTTGCTCCTGTGATCAGAGTACATATTATCCTCTGGCTTAGCGTGAGAACCCTTTGAGTTTGCTTGCCTAAAACACATCCTGTCAAGCATTCAAGAATAACCAATAAGCTAATATAATAAGAATACTTCCAACCAGAAACAAATACTAGTAGTAAAAGTCTGCATTCTGTAACCAGACAGCCAGGTTTAAGTTGATAAGCAACACCTGAAAGGCACTTCTCCATGCCGTTAAAAGTGTTGCACTTACAAATAAAACGGAGAGAGTATATTAGAGATAAGGCTATAAGCACATTACTCTCGCAGGGTTTTTGTTAATTCTTCAACATCACTTGACCATATCACTGGATCAATGTTTTTAGGCCGTGAAGCCTGCTTCTGAATATTTTCTTCGAGCCATCGTTCCAATTTATTGCATTCCTCAAGTACCTACAAAACGAAGAAAAATATTTTTATATATTAGAAGAAAAAATAGCAAGAGCTCATTGCTTACCCCTAATATTATAAATATAAATCAAATCCAAGTAGGACCATACAGCTTCTCTTTTACTAGCTGTCCTACACTCCTTTATTACTTCAAGTAAATTCCTCACTGCCTGAGGTCGGGCCTCTTCTTCCTTACATCGAATTTCAATTGGATCCACCATCTGAAATTTACCAAAAGAGTTCAGTGCATTACCATATTGTGTATAATGTTAAATTCAAAATTGATCTACTAATAACCTGTTTAAGATCCTGCAGCCTCTCAGCATAAACATGAGCAGATTCATCATCTCCCTCCTCATAAAGCCAGTCCTCTGTCTGCTGCAAATCCTTGCAGATTTGTTCTTTTTCTGACTCAGCAGTAAAATCCTTGTACGTATTCAAAATCTATGCAAATATGCAACTTAATTATTGTCTTGCTGACAGGGTAAAAGAAAGGAGAGAAGGAATGATCAAGATCAAGAAGTTTATAGAAAAAGTACAAAAAGGACCAAGCAGTGAGAGACCAGATAGTACCCAGCAATAAATAGAAAAAACTTAAGTCACCTACGTTCTCTTTGATCCTTCCATGCACAAGACAAGCACCAGGAAGATAACAGCTAGCTGATAAAGCCCAATTAATACAGTAAATAGGCTAGCACCCTCCCCACACCGGCACACCCCGACCCTGTTGCCTAAACAAGTAAAAAAAAAAGACCACCTAGTCGCTAGCTGGACTTTCATCTACACTGAACAAAACAAGGGCTAAAAATACCAGGACAATCCTAGCAAGCCCAGATAAAGGTCGATAGGTTGTCTGACTTGTCTCCTACCACTCATGACCCTGTCCCCTACCATACCCTACGTCCCTTAATATATTTTCATAGCCCTATAAATAAATTTGGTTGTATTGATTGATTGATAGAATAGGATAGCTAAGAAGATGGCTACATAAAACTAGCAATAGTGACACAGTGCTATGTAACAAAATTGAAGAACAGAAAAGGAAAATAATGAAATCCATAACCAATTTTTTAAAACAAACATTAAACATACAGAAGAATATTACTGTCATTAACTCTGTCCGTTATCAACCAAGCTGTAATAGTCACAGCTGCATAAATTAAATCAGAGGACTCATAAAATTGGTCATCAATAATTGATTGTGAAGTGAACGGTTAGTTGCCTTTGACAACTATATTTTTCCAGATATAACCTCTTTGTAGTTGTAGCGATAATGCTCAAAGAACAGCATCATGATTATATATAATTAAGATCCCTTAAATCTGAACTCAATTTGCTGTGGAAGCAAAAGCCCCAGTAGACTACTAGAGGTGTTGTGATTATAGGATAGTGCGATCAGGTTACATTTACATATGAACTTCAGAAAAATCCAACCCCCAAACCTCTCACCAAATTACATCGAAAAAGTCACGCACGAGGGGCAAACTATTCCTCTCTCAGTCTCTCCTTACAGCCTAAGTATTCAATTTTTAACTGCTAAATATAAATGGCATTGCTACATACTCCAACCAAAACTGAAACTCATCAATCACTGACTCACTAGGTCCCCCATAACTATTTCTCACCCTTAGCTTGAGCCAGCAACTCATTCTATGATGGAAATCATATGCTTTTCTTTACACCTCAACAATCAAAGTTTTAGTTAAGCTCGTGAAAAATATAATACATGATAGAAGATAGTGTTTTCTTCCTATTATTTGAAACTAAGATAGCATTTGACCAAGTTTCTGGGACCTAAAAGTTGAAATTAAGAAAACAACACAAAACTTGGTAGGTGCTTTTACTTTTTGAGAATCCCTAAATTCAAAAGGAGATAGAAAAGAAGTTCCATACCACTTTAAAACAGTATCTCAGGGAGCTAACCCTTTAATAAATCCTTACCCATTCTGAAAAAGTAAACAGATGCCCCATGATATCTACAATATGACGGGACTCCACATGTACCCATGGCCCGTGTGAGATCCTAGACACTGACATAGGTATGGACACTCCAACACTTCATTTTGGGCTAAAATCATGGAAAGCTGAGTTGGACACTTGGGCACGTACCCATGTCCAACACTAATACCAAAGTTCATGTAACATTAATAGGAGCATACGTGCCATTCATAATGTTATATAAAATGAATTTAATATTATACTAAGTTTTAACCTTTGCTTTGCAAGGGTTTACAAGATAAACTAGTCATAATTGTGATGCCCTACATAAAATTCTTGAATATGCCACTGCTCGCTCGGACAACCACAAGCAGATGATATTTAGAAGTAAAGGATGATAAGTGATGCTACACCCAAAATACAATTGGTTGAAGGGGGAAAAAAAAAAAAACCCCTAGAAATTAAAACCCTTACCTTATTGCGGGTTTCATATACATAAGACTCCAGGGTGTTTTTCTTCTCTTTAGCTTGTTCAACATTACAATCTTGCTTGGTCAGTTCAGCTTCCTTCTCCCTAGCTTTGATAAGCTCTGCCTCACTTAAGTGTCCACAAACATCCTCAACTATAGGTACAGGTAGCCGAGTCATGGCTTTACCCTTTCCGTTGTGACTCTGCGAATGGACAAACTGTGATGTTAGCATCAATAATTCCTCTCTACAGGACAACTTTTTTTTATTTATTTATTTTTTTTTTTTTTTTTTATTTTTTTTTTTTTATTGATGTTATTGGAAGAGATAAAAGTTCCAGTAGAAATTTTGAAATATCTTCATGCCAGCTATAAATGTTACAGCAAACATCATTATAGGTCAAGATGTGAGCAGCCTAAGCCTAAGCCTAACAAGTCAAGAACAGTGAAGAATGTGTATATTTTCAAATTCTCCCATTCCATATAGCTTGAAAAATAAAATGTGGAAGTTTGACCAATACTATAAACTATGACATTCATAGTGGGACATGAGGAATACTTAATAATCTTAAAAGAAACGAAACCCTATGCCATAATACTCATTCCATCCTGGAAAAAAAGGCACATGCGACTGTGTGGTCAAATTTTAAACTTGTACCACCCAGTTCCCAAAAGTTCATAACAGTAATTTTTGCACACAAATTAAGGCAATTGGTGAGAGAGAGTTGACATGGTAAGTGGGTGTAAAAATAGGGTGGATAAAGTAAGAGAGAGTATGGAAGGATGTAAATATTGTAGGGCAAGAGAGATAGGTAGTGAAAAAAGCTTGACAAATATAACAAAAGGGTACAGACTAAAACGGTAAGCGTAAAGAACTTTCAGGAGGTATAGCAACAACAACAACAACAAAGCCTTAGTCCCATTTTGGGGTCGGGTAACAAGAATCGTACCGTACGATATAAAGAAAAGGACATAACAAATCATTTGAAAAAGTTTGAAAAAAAAGTGAGTAAAGTGAGAAAAGGAAGAGCATCCAAGAAAAATTAAGAGAGTTTTAAAAGAGAACCAAGAATAAGATCTAAGAAAGTTTTCAAGGAGTAGTTAAAACTTTGGAGTAAATGACATAAAGGTTTGAGAAAACTTTAGCAAAGGAGGTAGTAACAATTATTTTATACAACTATATTAAATTCTTAAAAAAGTACCTTATAAGACCAATTCACATTTGAACTCAATACAAACTACAATATATTACTGTAAAATAACAAGCTTCTAAAGTCACACATGAAATTGTTATGAGATTGAGGTCATAACAATAAAGCCGCTATATAACATGATCCAAAATTTGGTGCAAATGTCAACTCACATAAAATGCAGGCACTGGCTTGGGTGCAGAATATTTATCTTCGGCATTATCTTCTGTGTCATGAGATCCATAATCATATTCAGCTTCCATCCTTTCTGAGGACTTGTCTGCACTCCTCAAAACTGGTTCATCCACATAAGCCCCTACAAGCTGATACAATGATATAAGACTATAAGTCCATGATAAGTGAACATAAAACCCTCCAGAGTATCGGGGGAGAGAGAGAGGGTTGATCCCACCTCTCCTACCTCTGTCCTCCCACCTCCCCTCACAGCCTATGAGCAGGAAGGAATCGCTTCTCATTGTAATAAAGTTTAAGTTAAAGTAAATTACTCACAGTGGCTGATGGTAACTTAACAGTCCCATGGAGAGTTAGATGAGCTTTAACCTTTATATGAGCATTTTCAGTGGCCATGGGAAAAGGCCCAATCTGCAAAGAAGAACAAAGAGCGAATTTCATCAAATTAAGCATTAAACAAATTAACCACAGCCAAAACATCCGCAGTTGATCATTCAAATATTTAGACGAATATTTTAGTATAAGCACACAACTTATGATTAAATAAACAGTATGAACAAAAAAAAAAATCTAGATGTTGGTAATGTCCAATATCCAAACAGTAAAATTTTAAAATAATGTAATCGGTAAATAGAAAAAAAAAAAAAAAAAAAAAAAAAAAAAAAGACTATACATGGAAAAGAAACTTTTCATTCCGTTTACTTTGGATGTAATTCTAAAACAAGCTCCCCCAGCCTCTCCCCCGCCCCCCCCCCCCCCCCAACACACACACACACACACGCACGCACACGCACACCTCTCAATAAATAATAAGGATAGAACTAATTTTATATTAAGTTGCAGAAAAGGAGCCAACTTCAACAATTAGGAAAATCATTACACACCCTTACAGGCAGCCAATACTCATTTCCTCCAGCATTGTGCCAAAGGTGAGTTTGGATAACTAAAAGTTTTTAATTCTCACCACGGCCAGCCAAAAATTCCTAGCCAAGGCAACATGGCCATCTGTCATAAATTAAACTCTCACTGCTCTCTTCACTTATCCTAGACTTTTATACCATGCATAGTATTTACAATCTACAACCCTTAAAACCTACTTAGGTGATTCACTGATTTGGCATTCAACCTCCCCCCACAAAAAAAAACAAATTAAAAAATTAAAAATATAACAGCAGAAAAACAAAGCATGGGCGAACTAATGCAAAACATTTCACATTTTGACTTTGAGAAAAGTAGAATTTATTCCAGAACTGGAGAGCAATATACGTTTACTAGAGATGTAGTTCTATAATATACTCTTTACAATAGTCGGTAACAAATTCATTACTCATGAGTCATGACTCATAAAATCAATATGTACTACCTCACAACAAAGAAGTCTCATTCCTCAACTTCCACTTGACCACTCAGATGAACAATACAACATATCCCATGATACACTTTATAAACAAGGACTTTCTGATCCTTTTCTTCACAGCTGAGATTTTTCCCTTCACCATAAGAAATTTCAAGGCAGCAGCAATAAGACAGTATATGATTCAGTGCTCAGAATATTGAGACATGCTAAATCAGGGAAAGTAGAACAGAAAATCCACTAGAGCCTGAACATTCTCCTTGCTGCATGGGGCACTCAACAGAGTCAACACCCAACCCTCCCTTATATCAATCAATCAAAAGCCTTAATCCCAAAAATTTGGGGTCGGCTACATGAACCAAGAATTCATCTCCTTTACTCACCAACCATGATCCCCTCCTCTCTTATATGATATCTCAAAATTAATTTTCATACTTTCAGATACTCCATACCTAATACTTTACCCTTTTATGAATAAATTCAAGAATAAACTCTGAAAAATGTCAGATATCACAAAGATGATATCCAATATTAGATATACTGATTTTCCAAACTTCATCTACTCCGATATAACGCCATATAAACAGAAGAGAGTGGGTGTACAAAGAGGATAATTTCAATGTAAGCTCCTCGTGAACAAGAACCAGAATCAGTAATAGAACACATCCAAAGCAGGATTACTTTAAAACAACTCCATTATATCTAAGGCCATAATTAGAGGTTTATTGGATCTTTCTTCAGTAATTAATTCAGAGTAGTCACTGCAAACTACAAAATCTTTCCGAAGACTTCCTTTACCCAAAAATCTAGCATGGTTCCACAACTAAAGATGGGAGTCTTTGCAAGAAAGGTCTTGCATAAGACATGCTATGATAAAAGGAGGGAAAATTTTGTAAATTATGTGATATAAGAGGACCTTTATAGCTGGCCTATATGGGAAGAATGATTTCGCATATAAAAAATGAGAGGACATTAATGAAATTCAAGGAGAAATGGCTATTTTATCATACACAGCAAAGAAAAAACCATGTGGACACCATGAAGCCACCTTTTGGAAAAAGGATGCCAGGGTATCACTGTGTGACTAGATGATTCCTCTTAGATTGAACCTTTTTCATCATCTAAAACTTGGCATAATGACACTAATGTAACACAAATCCATCATAATCAAGTGCCGTTAAAAATATTAAAATATTAGAGGTTGAGAGTTCAATTTCATTCCAGAAGGCAAAATCCTAAAATAAGCAATTACCCAAAATGAAAAGGCATCTAATGACGCAGTCATGTACGATGATCACTGCCAAAACATTCTCAATCCTAATAGGTTATGCTGTTATAGGTAAACCCAGGATCCATCCATTCTATTGCAATAACTAGTTAATTGGTAGCCAACAGGCTAAATCATATTCACTATCAGTGTATCTACCCTTTCCTGAAGTCATTTCTTCTCTTCAGTCAATAGGCTGTCTATTAAAAAACAGTTCAAAAAGCTTATTTCATTGAAGATATTATGTTCATGAATGCATCCGCCAATAATAGGAGTAGATAAGGTATTTCATAGCCTTTAAGAAGGGTTAAGGCCAAAAGCAGTTGCAGGATTTTCAGCCACAACACATGGACAATTTTTGAAGGCTAAACACATTCCATATTCATCATTTGAATAAAAATTCACTTGGCATAATAGTTTAACATGTAAGTCATTACATGCAGGGGCGGAGAAAGAGGGGTATAAGGGGGGACACATCCCCCCACTAAAAAAAATTCAGTTTTTTTTTTTAAAAAAAATTTATTGTTTAAATTCCAATTTGTAATTGTTTGATCATTAATTATTTATATGTATGTATAAATTAGTTTGGATTACTTAAGTTGTTTTTAAAATTTAAATCACACACACTTGTTTTAGATAGAATCATAGAATTTATTACTTTATCAAAAAGTTAGGGTTGTTCAGTTGTTAACATTTTAATTTAATTTGAGTTAAATTGTTTACAGTTTCTTTTTTTTTTTTCAAAGAAAGATGCTTATTATTTCAATTGTATGATATGACAATTGAATTATTGGTTTATATTTTTCAATTTAATTACGACATGTCAAATGTTCACTTAATTCAAACGATTCCAAGATAACCCAATCTTTGACAATTCAAAGAATGGAATACCAAGAAAATTATCTTCTTCATTTAATTTCCCACAAAACTCCGCCGCCAGTCCCAAGCCTGGATAAAGGAGGAGGGTTTCGGTAGGCCAGTGACAACCAGTGTAAACTTTGTCACATCCCATGACATGAGCCAAACTGCTATTTTCGTGGAGTGTTCCCTGCTCAGCGACGCGCTGCACTTCCTAGACCTGGGTGTAGTGATAAGTATGCAAGGGTTGCTAGGTCGTCGTCCGAAAGCGACGCGCCACATTGCCCGAATGTGGTGTCAGATGAGCAAGGGCGTGTCATTGGGGTGTTCCTTACTGAGCGACACGCTACACTTCCTAGGCCAAGGTGCAGTGATAAGTATGCAAGGGTTGCTAGGTCGTCGACCGGAAGCGACGCGCCACATTGCCCGAGTGTGGTGTCAAATGATCAAGGGCTTGCAGTTGGGGGCATGAGGGAGTGTGGTGTGAGTGAGTGTGGTATAAGGGAGCGTGTGAGGAAGGACTCTAGTTTGCGGATTGGTTATTGGAATGTGGGGTCTCTTACGGGGAAATCGGCAGAAGTGGTAGAAGTGATGAAGAGAAGATGCGTAAACATCATGTGCCACTAAAAGACAAGGTGGACAGGACAAGGAGCTTGAGGCTTGGTTTTGGGGTATAAGGTGTGGTACATTGGACAAGAAACGAGCCACCGGACTAGGAATGGTGGAGCTAGGAACGGAGTTGGTGTGATCCTTGATGAGAGGTTGTCGAAAGAGGTAATCCAGGTCTATCGGAAGAATGATAGGTTGATAAGGGTGAAATTGCTATATGGCAAGGAGATTGTGACTGTTATTAGTGCTTATACTCCCCAAGTTAGTTTAGATGCTGAAGAGAAACGACAATTTTGGGAGGATTTAGACGAGGTGGTACAGGGTGTCAACAGAGAAATTATATATTGGGGGTGATTTAAATGGGCATGCAAGCCGAGATGGCTACGAGAGTGTTCATGGAGGCTTTGGGTATGGGCAAAGGGACGCAGGTGGTGAAGCTATTATGGATTTTGCCCAGTCATATGATTTAATTTTGGCTAATACTTGGTTTAAGAAGCGGGATTCACACTTGATAACTTTTCGGAGTGGAGCAAATGCAAAACAAATAGACTTTCTGCTCACAAGGAGCACGGATAGACAAAGTTGCTTAAACTGCAAGGTCATTCCGAGAGAGAGTGTGGTCACCTAACACCGGCTTTTGGTTTTGACTATTCGTTTGAAAGAGAAGGCGAAGAAAAAAGGAAGACAAGAGGAGCCAAGGATAAGATGGTGGACTCTAAGGAATGCAAATGCGGTTTGGGGTGGAGAGGCGGATCTAGACATGACTTGGTTACAAATGAAGAACTGATTCTTGAAAGTGGCCAAAGAGGTCTTAGGGGAATCAAGGAGGAGAACTTCGATGCATAGAGATATTTTGTGGTGGAATGAAGAGGTGAAAGCAGTAATTAAGCAAAAAAGGGAATGCTATCAAGCCTTGGGAAAATGTAGGAACGACGAAACCTTTTCATCATATAAGGAGGCAAAGGCAGTAAGGCAAAGGCAGTTGTAAGGCAAAGACAGTTGTTCGCCAAGTGAAAGAAAAGGCTTATTAGGAGTTTTATGAAAAGCTCGACTCCAAGGAGGGAGAAAAGATGATTTATACGATGGCGAAGAGAAGACAAGAGGCAAGAAAAGATATTGGCATGGTAAAGTGTGTCAAAAATAAGAACCAAATTATTCTAGTACAAGATGAGGACATCAAAGGATAGGTGGAAGGGGTACTACGATGAATTGTTTAATGGAAGTCATAGAGTTGTGATGGGAGATATCTCTGTGAGTGATGAAGAAATTAACATGGAGTATGTGGGGAGGATTAGTAGAGTAGAGGTGGAGATTGCACCGAAGAAGATGAGGCCTAAGAAGGCGGTTGACCCTGATGGTAACCCGATAGAGTCGTGGAGGTGTTTAGGTAAGATTGGTATTGATAGATTAAAAGACCTCTTTAACAAGATATGGAGGGCTACATGGAGGAATAGCACCTTGGTCCTGGTTTATAAAAACAAAGGAGACGCTAAATATTGTTAAAGAAAGGTATCACACTATGAAGTTAAGGGAAAGAGTAATTGAACGTAAGCTCAGGGCATGCACAAGCATTTCGGATAACCAATTTGGTTTTATGCGTGGGAGATATACTATAGAAGCAATCCATTTGATAAGATAAATGATGGAGTTTTATAGGGTAAAGAAAAAGGATCTTCATATGGTCTTTATTGATTTAGAGAAGGCATATAACAAGGTGCCAAGAGAGGTACTTTGGTGGGCAATGTTGAAGAAAAGTATCACACGAAGGTACGTGGACCTGATTAAGGATATGTATCGGGATGTGTCAATAAATGTGAGGACATGTGAGGGTTGACAAAAGATTTCCCTATTACAATTGGATTGCATCAAAGGTCTGCATTAAGTCCTTTTCTTTTTGCAACGGTTCTAGATGAAATAACCAGACGAATTCAAGATGAGGTTCCATCGTGTATGTTGTTTGCGGATGATATCGTCTTGGTGGATGAAACTAAAAATTGGGTTAATGCCAAATTGGAGTAATGGAGGCAAAGGTTGGAATCTAGAGGGTTTAAGCTAAGTCGGAGTAAGACCGAAAGAGAGTGTTGCATATGTGGTTCATGTATGTATAAATGTAAGATTTTCTTTTAAAAAAAAAAAAACGGAAAAAAAAGTAGGAACAAGGAAGTTGCATTTAACTAAAATTACTAATTTATCTATATACTATACTAAAGTAATCTCCAAAAGTATCCACGTGTCATCAATCTCAATCAATCAAAGCCTTAATCCCATAAGTGGGGTCGACTACACGAACCAAAAGTGATTATTCCGTGTAGTCCTAAAAAAAATCCTCCCCCTCCATCCCTTACAATCAAATATTTAAATGCCTCATCCTCGTGCAAATCCATATACTTCATATCCTTCCTAACTCCTTCAAACCAAGTCATTTTTGGTCTCCTTCTCCCTCGTTTAACCCCTTTATGATCCTACTCTTCCACTCTTCACACCGGTGCACCCTTGGGTCTCCGTTTTACATGCCCAAACCAACGCAGGCGATTTTCCCTTAGTTTGCGAGCGATGCCTGCCACACCCACTTTTTAGCGAATAACTTCATTTCTAATTCTATCTCTTAGAGTGTTCTCCCACATCCATCTTAACATGCGAATTTCCGTAACCTTCATCTTTTCAATATGCTCTTTCTTAGAAGCCCAACATTCTATACCATAGAACAACACTGGTCTTATAGCCGTCCCGTAGAATTTTCCCTTCAACTGTAAAGGAAAGTTTCGGTCACATAACACTCCCGTGGCCGCTCTCCATTTAAGCCACCCCGACTAAATCCACATGTCATCACCTCATAAAAAAATTTCCCGCTCAAAAATTATGTTTTCTTTTTGTAATTTTAATTATTTAAAAGAAAAAAAAAATTCTTTTTAGAAGTTAGTTTTATAAAATAAAAGATAAGATAGAAAATTCTTATCTTAACATTCACAATCCTATATTCAATTTTGACAGGGTAAAAGATGAAAGGTTTGTTAATTTTGATAAAATCCAATTGTGGATCGACTAAGTAAATCATCATTGATCCTTTAAAAATAAAATTAGAAAAAGTAAATCATCAAACAAAATTAATTCAACCATGTATTAAATGAAAAATCAACTCGGGCATTAACTAGTATAGGATAAACCAATAAACCTATCTAAATTAAGAATAAAATATAGTGTAACCAACAAAAAGGGACACAATGAATACATTTTAGGTAGTATTCACTTATCTTATCTGAACTTATTAACCCTTATCGTACCTAAACTTATCATCCCTTATCTTATCTTATCATATACATCGTATTATATTATTTGACATTACCTTTTTATCGGCCTCATTAGACCTTTTTGGAACTGTCTTATCTTATCAAAACTTATCGATCCTTATGTGCACTTAGAAGATATATAATGGCAAGCTACTTCCTTCGTTTTTTATTAATTGACACGTTTGGTTTTGGCACACAAATTAAGGAGAGGTAAAAGAGAAAGTGAAAATACAAAAATACCCCTTCTATCTATCCCTTTCAATTGAACTACCCTTTCCCCAACGACTGTAGAACACCAGCCACCAAGCCCACCACCACCTCCACTATTATTTTACCCTTCCCTTTATTTCGCTACCACTAGACCCCATCTTCATTGACCCTTTTTTTGCAAAGGATAATTGAACCCAAGCCACAAATTAAAGTACTCGAACTACATCTTCCTTAAACTCGTGGTGTTGATGGTGGCGGTAAGGGTTTCGATGTGTGGAATTAAAAGAGGATTTGATAATTGGGGGTTATAGCAGTGGTGGTGCGACGGAGGGAGGAGAGTAAAGGAGTTGATGATTGGATTTTAATTAGACGGCAAGGAGAAGAGGAGAGATAACGTCGGCGGCAAATTAAAGGCAGGATCCTTGCTGCCATTAATGGTACTTTGCCATTTTAGTGTTAAAAAGCTTCGATTTTTTCCTCGACCCGAACCACCCAACTCCCTTACCGACCCAAACGATGTTTGAGAAATTAGAGGAGCTTCATACTTGTTTGAGTTGGAGGTAGAAGAAGAGAGGCGGCAATATGGGATGACGGTGGTTGTGAAGCAGGAGAGATAAAATGGAGTGGTATTGGCCTTGTGATTGAAAGGGGGGAGAGAGAATGTTAGCATGTGGTAAGGTGAAGGGAGGAGAGAGAATATAAGTGAGAGGGTATATTTGACATTTTTACCATACAAAACTTGTCCAAAATAGAAACGTGTCAACTAATAATAAACTTCCCAAAGAGGAATATGTATCAACTAAATAAAAACGGAGGTAGTAATTAGCAAATTAGCTTGTTGTGCCACATAAAAATTCAAGCTAGCTAATCCCCTTTGGAACTAGTTTGTACCCCAATGGTTAGTTACTAGCTTGTGATTTAAATGAGCCATACTTTCTTAATTTACTTTTTAAAATTTAATTTTATCAATATATCAACCCTCCCTTTTGGCAATTATTTTCTCAAGCAAATTAGCTTGGGTAAGATACCCAAACTAGTTAGCTACAATGGTCAAGCTAGTACCTAAGAAAATTTGAAAATTGCAAGCAAGTCCCTAGCTATAGCCATTAGAGATGCTCTTATTAGCCCTTATCTTATTTGAACTTATCTAATCTTATTATATACCTAAATTAAGTGAAAATAAGGCGAGGAACACAAAATCTTATGGTACAATAAGATCAAAGTAGTGATGTTTGACTTTAAAATAGAGATTGGGTGAAGTTTATAGAAAAAAGAGTAAAATAAGTACTTTTAGTAAAATTTCCAGCATAAATGACATTAGAATTATACCCCATCAAATACATAGAAATCAAGAAAAAGAAAAGGAAAAAAAAAGGTTTCAATCAACCACGTACCGTGGATACGCTGATTCTAGGAGATACACCCAGAGGTAAGTCATGTACATCAGCATAAAAGGCTTCCAACTGAAATTCACTACTTTTCTGCAACTTGAACACTTTCTCACTAGGGATTGGATGACCTTTGGGAAATAATACACCATTTGGAAGTGCATGTATTGGACCCTCATCAGGTAAACGGAGTCCTATGGAAAATGGTAGCGAATCCTCCACCTACACATGAAAAGGTGAATAACCAACTGGGTAAGTGCCATTATTATGCAACAGACAATCAGCCATGCACCTGATCAGAAGACTTCTTATAACCAAGCCTAACAAAACACACAGGGCTTTGACCCAATACAAAAGTGTAAATGATAATATTATTTAGGCACAGGTCAATTAATCAACACTCTTAACTTCAAAAGTGCCATTCTCGATTTCTCGCTGTTTGACGAATTACTAGTTTAGTATCTGGAAAAAAATACAAGTTAAGAAAAAAGAGCAGAGCTATTCTAAATCATCAAAGAAAGATATAATTACAAAAACTGCTTTGTTTGTTATGATCTTTTTTCTAGCATTATATTGATTTCAAGTATATATGAATTATTACTTTATTAGGTCCTCGAGAAAACAGCATCTCTGCATCCAGAGAAGGCTATGTACACCTTGACATACTCAATACTGTCCCTTAGGTAGATTCCTCATTGCATCAGTTATTGTTTACTATTATTCTCCCCATTCCTCATGGGTCACCAGCCCAATTGCCACATACTTACATCATTGAGTAATTACTTCTCTTATCTCTTTATTTAATTTATCTTGGTAAGTACTGCTTTTCTTTTCTCGTTAGCACTCTTAGGTACTCAGCTCCCAGCATAACACTTACTGTTTTGTCATAACACCCAAATGTGCAGAAGAACCCTATCCACTGATTATCTAATGAATTCTTGTTATGTTATTTAGAGGAAAATGCAGAATAAGAATGTATTTATTAAATAATTGTCTGATAACTATAAGCTTGAAAAGGCTTCCACAATTAATAAACCTTTTACCAGCGCAGCTTTCACCCACATAACTCCATCAAACTTATACAGGCTTTGAGAACTATTTTCATAAGATTCAGTCTAGCAGATGAAAATCTTTGCAAGAATTCAGCAGGGAGTGAGAACAAGATTTTTTTACATAAGATTGAGTCTAGCATCTTGCGCTTCATATCGGTTATCATTAGTTAAACAGCTATTTTAAAGTTAAAAGGCAACAAAGCAATATCATTAAATAGTACTTCCTCCGTTCCAATAATATAGCAACAAAGATGGCATCCCAAATCACATTATATATGTTAAATATCTATAATTGTATAGGAGTAAAAATTATAAAAAGTTAATATTGTGAAACTATTTTATGAGACGGATCTAACAAGATCCCACATTACTATATTTTGCTTAACGTATAAATCATATTATATGGTCAAACAAGAGTGATGAATAGTGGAAAAGTCCCATTGTTGCAATATTATTGGAACGGAGGAAGTATCTCGCAGCAGGTTTCAGAAACAAAGGTGTAAGTAATTAGGAATGAGAGGAAGAACAACTCAACAAACTACCCCCCTCAACACACCCCACACACTTACCAAAGAAAACAATAAAATGGCCAGGGAAGCGACCCAAATCAGGGTACATAACTAAGATTGGAGATAAGTTACAAAAACAAAAGCAAGATACTGACATTAGGCCGAGCCTGAACATATTATCCTTCCTGTTCTACAGGTAATTACTAAAAAGGTTATACAAATATGACTATTGAAACTGGAACTAGTCTAACAATGCATAACTAGGGTGTTTTATCAGTTCATTCAAGCTGTCAATAATGTGAGAAGAAGAGGGAGGTGGCTGGGGGGTAATGATTCTCTAGGGATCTATAGTCTGTAATTAAACCTTGGTAAGTTAAATTAAAAGAATCCAATTGTAGCTCAGCCACAAGAATACAGATATCACTCTCCAGTATTTTTCAGAGATTTCATAACTCACACTGTACAAGCTTTAAATTGTCACCTTCAAATGGATGAAATGTACTAATGGTTAACATACTAAAAGCAACAAGTTACTTGAAGCAAAGCAACAATCTAAACTCAATAAAGATACAAACCTCGTAATCTTTAACACGGAAATTTGGACTAAACATAGCACATTGCAGCGCACAACCACGAGCGACGCATTCACTGGCATTCAATTTCCGGCTTGGTTCTCTTCTGAAAACAGACGCTAACACTCTAGAAATAGCTGGAATTCGAGATCCTGAACCAACAAGCTCCACAGATTGTATCTTCTCTGCTGCCACACCAGCATCCATCAGAGCCTTTTTACATGGTTCAGCCATTCCCTCCAACAGATTTGACGAGAATTTTTCAAATTCATCCCTTGTAATAAAACCCTTCACATCTTTCTCATCCATCAAACACTCAATGTTCAAAGGTGCTTCAGGGTTTGCACTCAAGACCTTCTTCAATTTCTCACAAGCTGCCCGAAGCCGAATGCAAGCTCGACGGCTAGAAGGAACATCAATATTATACTGTTGTTTAAACTGCAAAGCAAAGTGACGAAAGAGCACCTCATCAAAGTCTCTAGCCCCCAAGTTACTGTCGGAAGCATGAGAAAGTACTTTCATATGTCCAGGTTCAAATGAGACAACTGCGACTTGAGTATCAGAGTGCCCAATATCCACAAAGGCAGCGTAGCATGGGCCCTTGTTGGAGAAGTCTGTCTTGTAAACCCCATAACCAAGGGCGGTAGCTGTGCAGTCATGCAGCAACCTTAACGGCGTAAGACCTGCAATAGTTGCAGCATCTAGATATAGCTTCCGTTGCAAATGAGTGAAGTACGAGGGGATCCCAATCACACAATCTTTAACAGGTGCTTCCAAACATTTCTCAGCTGTCTGCTTTAAATGTGAGAAAAGCATTCCCAACATTTGCACAGGTGTAAAGGTATGTCGTTTGCCCAAGTACTGTAAATGGATCAGAACACCGCCATCTGGACCCTCAGAAGTCTCAAATGGGAACATCCTCAAATCCTCTTGAACCTTGGGATGGTCATATCTCCGACCTATCAATCTTTTGACCTGAGAGATTGTTGACGTCGGATTCATGGTCGCAGAAGCAGCCCCTGCAGAACCAAACAATCTCTGCTTCTCCCCAAACGACACCACAGCCGGTGTCTCACGTTTCGATTCCTCATTCAACAACACATCGATCCCCCTATGCTTCACAGCCGCAATAACACAGTTCTCGTTTCCAATATCAAATCCCACCACACTCATGTTGCCTAGATGTCACTACAATATCACCTAATATACAATAATCAATAACCCGGTTCAGCACGACTTCCTCATCGTAAAGAAATAGACGATTCCTTTCAAAATTCAGTAATCATGAATTAAACATAAACAATCATGATTTGATTAATCACATTTCCAAAACCTTAAGCAATCATAATGCTCCATACTTCATTCTCAAACCAAATTTACCATAATCAAACAATTTTATACAAATAACACTAAGATCATCAGTTGATAGCATTAAATTACAAGAACCATAACCAGAAAAAAAGGGAAATTCATCTGCAGCAATTCAGAAACCAAAGCTTCATCATCAATTAACAAACGAATAACTTGCACTAGCTTCACAAATTCACAACAATTATACTTTAAACAAACAAAACCATAAACAAGCTGAAATAATTATGATGAAACTCAAATTAAACGAAAAAAAAAAAACAAGACATACCAAAATTACAGAAATGCCGAAATTCGAAGAAAAGGAGCCCTAGAAAATGGAGAGAGAAAATGCGAAGAAATTTCAGAGAGATTCAACTTTCTTCGTGAATTTAGATTTTGAATTTTCAAAGGAATTGCAAAAAATGTAGTGATGTGAAATTGATAAAATTCCAAATTTTGGTGAAGTTAAGAAGTAAACGTGCTTGAGAATCTTAAAAAATCCGAATTTGACGGAAAAATATTTATTGGAAAGATGAACAATGGCCCTTCGTCTTCTTTCTTTTTTTTTTGTATTTGAATTACGAAAGGTGGTGTTTTAATTGGTTTTGTGTTTATGTGACTTGGTTTGGTATTGAGCCAATTCACAAAAGTAAGCATAACGTCTGTGGATGACCACTAGTGTTCTACACAAGTAAATTATCAAATCATCACGGAGCTCTAAGAGTACCCACAGCCATTAACTATTTGGGTGGTTATTAAGAGAGAGAAAATGAAAATATTAATAAAATATTGAGGAGAGAGAAATTATTGGGGTATCAATTGAATAACCAGGTTATTCAAATAACCGGTTATGTATATGGTCATGCAATTTTTTTTTTGCTTTTTGGTTGACATGGATGGCTAAGATTTTGACACGTAATACAAATATCAATGGTTGAGATTTGCTCTGAATTTATAACCGTTGTAATTTTTGTAACGGCCATAATTTTTAAAATACAATTCTGAAAAGAAAAAAAAAATACACCAACGGCTCTATTTTATTTTTCTCTATAAAATGAGCCCAATATTGAAGTATTTTGAAACAACTTTTTTTTAAGTGAAAATTACTCTTCTTATTGGCAAATTGTGTTAAGATGAACATTCCAAAATCTAACAGAAAAAAAAAATCCACAAAATCTCATAACTCATCACAGCCCCAAAATAATCCAAATCCTCAACCTTACTATTCTAATCTTCTAATTGATCTCAACTCAGATTTAGATACAAATTTTCAAAATTTTCCGAATTACGGTTCACAAAATCTCAATTTCTCAAATCCAAGTACTTTCACTCCGTTTCCTTTTCAACCACCACAAAATCCTAATTATTCAAATTCTCCAAATGTTATCCCATCTTTTGAAAATATTCAAATCTCTCAAATTGATTCAACATTTCCCATGTCTCAACATTTTTCTATGTCACAAGGTGATGGTGCATTTCCGAGTTTCGATTGTTCATACACATCGAATGCATCAGATGACGAAAATGAACCAGAAAATGAAGAAGGCGAAGGTAATGAAAGAGGTAATGAAGGAGGCAATCAAGATGGAAGGAAAATTTTTTGGTCAAAAGCTGAAGAAGTGGTTCTTGTGAAGGCTTGGCTTGAGGTTAGTCAAAATAAAAAAACTAACACTAACCAAAAGGGGGATGTTTTTTGGAGGAAAATTGAAGAAATGTATAATAATGTTAGACTATACAAACAAAGGTGTTTCGAAGAAGGTACTGATCGGGTAACACGAGAAGATTTGTTGAAAATGAGGGGTACGGAGCAACTTAGAAACCGTTGGAGAAGGATTAATGCTTCATGTTCTAAATTTTGTGGCTCACATGCTCATGCTGAATCAAAAAAGGGAAGTGGTATGAATGATGAAGATGTTATGAAATTAGCATATAGTATATATGCTAACGACAAAACAAAGTCTTCATTATGCTCTAAAACCTTTCAAGACAAGCATGTTTGGGACATCTTAAAACAACATGAAGCATGGAAACCAAGGGAGAAAGAAGCAAGGAAGCAAAGAAAAATTAATATGGAGTTATTTAAACACCTCGATTCAAAGCCAAACTTATCTTCGGAAGATCAAGAATTAAGGAGCACTTTGTTGAAGAAGTTGTTCCCCTCAGACTAATGTATTAGTGTATGGTTGATTATTGTCGTAATGTTGGTTGATTTCAAATAATTCCTTTTTTATTGTTCTTTTTTATGTACTTAAGGTCTGATTTGTAGTTTGAATATTTTTAATAAGTTGTTGTTTGAGGATGTGAATGAATTTTATATTATAATGTCATTATTAATAAAAAAATTAAGTTAAATTACATGTCTCTTCTTATAATCGTATTATAAGCTTAATAATATTATTCAATACATTAAAGTTTGTATATAATAACATATAATTATTATTGATCTGACTAAACCTATTGATTCACTTTGATATATCACTGCAAAAGATGTACATTGATTTACATTACACTGTAAAGTATTTGATGTACCCAACACTGAAAAGCAAATATTAAATACTAGACATTGATGTACTTAACACTGAAAGGTAATAGTGAATTTTGTTCACTGATGTACTTAACACTGAAAAGGAAATAGTAGCATGCATCACTTGCTTTGACGTACATAACAATGTTAAGGTGATAGTGACAATGCAAAGGCATGCATCTCCATTACTTTTAAAAATTATTAACTACTTTATGAATTATTTTGTTCATAGTTCATACGAATCGTAATCTGAATTTGGTTTCTTTGGGTGGTTTTGACACCTTTATTCAAAGAGGCACAACTAAAAGTGAATACATAGTAGAAAAAATAAGATTTAGTTTGAACTTAATTCTAACGTTTAGGGTTTTTCTTTTACAAAAAAAAACTTTTGGGTTAATAAGTTATAAATGCACATTTTATATCATTAATTTAATCATATTTTAATAATACAAAATATATATATATAATTTAATAAATTATATACGGAATTGAATTTAACCAGACCTCATATGATTACACTTATATTTTTACTAAGTTATACGAGGCAAAGTAAATCACAAAGAAGGTCAAATGTGTAACAAGTGCCAAAAAAAAAAAAAAAAAGAGAACATTTTGGTTAAAAACACAAAGTTACATATGTGGCTGACCACACTGTATAGCTGGTACTTGATCAGAGGTTACCCGATCGGTAAGGGGTTATCTGGTCAATAATTGTGAAACGCTAAACATCGCCCGCAATTTACCATATAAAGCCCACAAATATGATATGATTTGACCATTATGCCCTTTTTCTAAAATTGAAAAAATCTCGGTGTAAAAAATGTGGAGCCGTACTGGCTCGCCGGGGGAGACCGGATGGCAGGCCGGAGATGCGGGGGACGCCGGAGGTACGTCGTCGTCGACGGAAAACGAGGTAAGTCACCATTAAAATTCACGGTTTACCGTCGGAGTGGCTCCGGCGCCTAGGGTGGACGCCCAAACCGTAGCCTGGACGTCCAAGCCGGACGCCAGAACCACCAGAGTGGCGTCCAGCCCAGACGCCCAGACCACCAGACTGGCGTCCTGGGCAGACGCCACTCCACTAGGTGAGGCGGCCCTGCCAGGCGCCAGTCCAGTGGCTGTGGCAGCCCTGGCAGACGCCACCTTTAATAATTAATTTTTTTTTTTCTTTTTTGATTTTGTTGTTGTTTTTTATTTAATTTTTTTGTAAAAAAAAAATCGAAAATGATTTTTTAAAAAAATTCGAAATGGGTTTTTTCTAAATTAAATTTGAAAATTCGAAATAGGTTTTTTTAAAATTAAATTTGAAAATTCGAAATGGTATATTTTTAAATTTAGTTTGAAAATTCGAATTGGGTTTTTATAAAAATTAAGTTTGATTATATATAATTATGTTTTTTTTTGTGTTAATTCTGTGGAAATATAGAAATTAAATGTATTATCCGTTAAATGTATTTATTGTAATATATAATTGATGCAGGAATATGGTGGAGACGGAAATGATTACAGTGGGATATTTGGACATGATGGTCCATTCGAAGAAGCTCAACAGGCGATTGATTGGGCAAAACAGGTTGCAATTGCAGCTGGATTTTGCTTGGTAGTAGCAACTCATAAATCTCAACGGGATGGTAGAATGGATCGCATTTTGAGATGTGACCGTTATCGCAAAAGAGAAGAAAGAGATTTTCGTACAGCCACTCGGTTTGACACAAAGCGGAAAGGTTGTGGGTGTGAGTTCAGAGTAAAGGTTCGACAACTACGGAGTCGTGACGGTTGGGAAGTGATAGGTTACTCTAAATGGGGGTATCACAACCATGAGATGATAGTATATGAAGAGGGTCATCGACAACTGAGCGGCTTAAGTCCTGCTGCGAAACTAGCTGTGAAAGAAATGAGTGATGCTCAAGTGAAGCCTGCTAAAATATTAGCATCTGTGTTAGAGAAATTTCCAGAAGACCATCCAAACCGAAGACACATCTACAACGTCAGACAGCAACTCAGGTTTGAACGGTCAGAGGGAAGGAACCCTATACAGCAGCTGCTACACCAGGCACAATCACGTGGTTACCTGTTCTGGTTTGATTCTGATGAAGATACAGCGGAGGTGACTCATCTTTTCCTTGTGCATCCTGATTGTGCTGATATGATCAAGTCTTGGCCATTTGTGATTTTGATCGACTCAACGTACAAGACAAACAAGTACAAGTTCCCTCTGGTTGAGATGGTTGGGATGGCTCCAACGAACCAGAACTTTCTGATTGGTCATGCAATCATCAGGGATGAGACGGCTCCAAGTTATTATTGGGTGTTGGAGAAGCTGAGAAACTACATCGGGCCTAATGTTCATCCAGCAGCCATCGTCAGCGACTGTGAGGGAGGTCTCTTTGCCCCCATAGCAGAGCTGTTTCCCGAATCGAACCACTTATTGTGCACATGGCACATCAACAACTGCGTGAAAGTGAAAGCCTACAACCTTTTCAAGAAGAATTTGGAAATGGAAGAGAGATTGGTGAATGGTAAGTGGCGGAAGATCCTACAGGCTACCACAGAGGAAGCGTATGAGCGAGCATTGGCTAACTTCAGGGATTCGTACCAGTGGTGTCCGGCACTGGTGGACTATGTGATGCATCAATGGGTCCCTCACAGGGAAAAGTTTGTCAAATATTGGACAAACCAGGTACTTCATTTTGGGAACACTACAACATGTAGAGTTGAGAGCGCTCATAGAGCTACCAAGGACTGGATTGATTCATCGACCGCTGCTTTGGTTACACTGTTCGCTAGACTGAACAAGTCAATTGAAACTTAGAAGAACGACATCAGGAACTCTCTAGAGGACTCCAGACGACGACATGGTACGATGTATAGCCATTTTATATTTAAGATTCTCCAAGGTCGTGTGTCGCACTACTGCTTGGGGCTGATTCTCACTGAGCTGAACAGGGTGAGGGACTTGGCTGACGAAGTGTATACTCGGTGTGGGTGTACTATTTCAGTAACTCATGGATTACCTTGCGCATGCACCATTCACCGCGTTATTACAGAAGAAAGGGCGTCGTTACATGTTGATCAGGTCCATTCATTCTGGAGGACGCTTGTTATTGGTGAGCATGCAGACAATCAAACGGCCGACCGTGAACAGGAGGAGTTGGAGCAGTTCCGTTCGATGTACGACCGAGTGTCCTCCAGCCATCCTTCTATTATTCGTGACGCTACTCATGTACTTCATGACATGTTCCACCCGTCTAACTTAGATTATGAGGAACCCGAAGGAGTTGACCGTCCTCGAGGTCGACAACGGCGGAACAGGAGTGCGTTTGAGTATATCCGTGGTCTTGGTCGTGGTCGTTCTCGTGGTCGGACATCGTCATCTAGTCGTAGTCAATCTTCATCGTCTGTGAATATGCCCCTGAGAACTGGTACGTTTTGGTTGTTTTTATTGCACATAGTTTTAAAGTGTTACTCCTGCCTTCTTAACTCTCTATAATTAATTATATGGTGAATAGGAAGAAACGATGTTGATCAGTTTCCGTACAAGGAAAGGATACCTGCGATCATCATGTCGTACTTGGAAGGGTGGAATGATGTAATCGGAGATGGTAACTGCGGATTCCGGGTCGTGGCTGATGTTTTTCAAATGGGCGAAGACAACTACGGTTTGGTGCGTGAGTTGATGTACAGCGAAATTGCCTCTAACCGAAATGTTTATCGTCATGTGTACCAGGATGACTTGGATGGCGCTCTGCGGCGTATCCGGTGGGGAGGTGGAACACCCTAGCTGCATTTTAGTTTTTCATGTTTACATTCTTTATTTGTAATCTTATTTGTACGTTGCTCTTTTAATGAGAACATTAATATTTTATATTGTATTGCTTACAGCATTCTATATGTTGCATGGGTAAGTTGCGCGGATCCACGAACGGTTATATCAAAATTTAAAAACAGCACTGATAATATGTTTAAGTTGGAAGCTAAAAGAACAATCTAAAATGTTACAATTTTACAACATAATGTCCAACATAATGCTCTATAAATAAAATACAATAACCATCAGTAATTCCTCCTCGACGACGACTCCCACTGCGCAAGGGTCTGTTCCAGACTATCAACAACAGCTCTCCCTATTGCACTCATGCTGTCCTTCTCAAGAGAGAGTTTCTGTACGTCTTGCATTATCTTTCCCATCCACTACATACAACAAAAAACAGAAGATGAAATACAATAACAACAAATAAAACTTAATTAAAAGACAACGATAAATATAATAAAAGACATACCGCTTCCGTGGCAGTAGGCGGTGGCACATAATCATCATCGCTGTGGTCGAGATCAGCGATCAACCTCGGGTGCGAATACCGGTTGAACCATTCCATGTAGTAATGGTCACACATGGGAGTAACCCCAGAGGGCGGCCGCTGCAACTCCGCAGTCCATAAGCGGGCCACCATCGGAAACTGGTCCCACGTCCCGGTCATGATATCCGGCCATTCCACGACGTAGTCCCTCGACGATGCAGGTCGGACCGCCTTCATCGGGCACGCCGGGGGAGGAGGGACAACTTGGACAAATCCAAGCTGGCGAAGACAACGCTGGGGCATGTACGCCTCGACGATGTCACGATACTGAATGAGTCCCGTGTAC